TTCAACAACACGGGAAAAAATGAGAGGGTTTGTTTTTGTTTTTTTTTTTAGATCCGCAGAGATCTCCCCCAAAAAGAAATAATAGTGTAAGAAGGACACAATTGTTTACCTTTTCTTTACATACAATTATCTTGTTTTAATTCATTGATCAAACTACTTGAATTTTCCCCCCTATAACTGAATTAAAGAGAATACACATTTCGTATTAAAACTGACAATAACACTTTATACAAGGTCATGCTTATCTCAAACTGCTTACGGTGTCTTTACGCTTAATCTGTTGGAAGTGTACTGATTTATATTCTAGTTTGAGAAGACGGTTTATTTATTAATTAAAATAGGATTTAACACTTGCTTTTAGTAACTTCAAGTACTCTGTACTCTGAGATCGTACTTTGTGCCTTTTTTTTCTTTGTTATTGTTTGTTCTTTTTGTGCTTAGTGTCGTTCTGATGAGTCATGCCCTTTACAATTGATCTTTATATTTTTTTTAGATGTTTTTCCTGTTATATCATCGTTCAAGGAAAGGGGTTGGTGGGAAGAGGGCTGAGAGCTCACAAACTTGTTCACTGATATCATCCTGATATCGCCACATTCTTTATGAGCCTATACCAAGCCAGAAGCCTGTAAGCCAGTGCTTATGCATGTTATGGTTGATCTTTTTTTTTGTTGCTGTCTACTTTGTTTGTTTTGGTTTATTGTTTTAGTATAAATCAGGTTGTTAGTTTTTCTTTATAATTGTTTTGACATTTTGTCGCGGATCCTTTAGATTACATGTTAACATACGGTACGAGTTTTGCTGTATAGTTAGCCGAATTTTCCTTGTCCTTCAGTCTTTCATGAATAATCGTCTCGTTAGCAATCATACCACGTGTTCTTATTAGTACATTAACGTTTTTCAACTAAACATTGTAGTAAGGTCTTTCGTATTGTCTTTATTGCTACTTACATTGATTTTATTTTCAAAAGCTTAATACATTACTAAGCTTACATTGCTATATGGTCCTACATATTTTGCATTGCACAAAGTCATACTTTACAAAATTTCTTATTTCGCCTATTATACTTAATCCGTTGAGATGTACTTGTGTCTTGTCATTTTGTTGGTTGTTTTTGTGCGTAGAAGAGATTTGATGGGTCAAAGTTGAAACCCTTTTCAATTGATTTAAATTGTGTACTGCTACATCACTCTCTTCGAGTAGAGAGGGCTGAGTGAGCACTTCGTTGCAAACATGTTTAACCCATTTATGTATGTTCTAAACCAGGAGCCTGTAGTCTTGTGGTTGTCGAAAGTATCTGTGTGTCATTATATCTTTAACATATTTCATCTCCTTATTCTTGTATTGGTCCAAATAAAGCCCGGCTACAGAATATTCAGGTTCTTAGGATTTTGTGTTTAGTTTTAGTTACAATGTTTACATGATGTTTTGTTGAAAAGTATAGTAGATAGTGAAAAGAATTAGGATCTACCGTAATAAGTCAATATGATTGAAATAGACAACCTCTCATAGTATAATTCAATGACAATTTTCACTTATTTTATTTTGTTGTTCACTATTTAATTCTTTTTTTGTGATAATTAGAGAGAAACTGTTACAAGCAACTAGAGGCTCTCAAGAGCCTGTGTCGCTCACCTGTATCTACTGTGGTTTTGGAAATCATGTAAAATAAGGTTAAAATCATATAGATACCCTAATAATGATTGAGGCCAAGTTTGGTTTAATTTGGCCCAGAAGTTAAATTAAAAGCAGAAGATTTTTGAAAAGATTCACAAAAATTACCAATGAATTGCAGAAAATAACTTTAAAGGACAATAACTCCAATAAGATGTTAATTGCCAATTGGTCATGTTAACTTATGTAGATCTTTCTTTGCTTGATATTTTTGGTGTTTACAGTATACTTCAATCTATAATGATATTCAAGATAATTAACAAAAAATAAAAAAAATCCTTTCCTCCGCTCCAAAATTTATTTTACCCAGGGCCTGTATTAAGCTGAAAATGCCTTTAAATGTTTTTATGGAACACCCTTCAAAAAAAATTTGGGCAGGGGTTCCCCTGCTCCGACTAACCCGCCGGGTCTGGGGGCATTCACCTAATATAAGTTTGCTGAAAGAAAAGATATAATAATGGTTTATAGAAAAATAAACACTGAATAATTCTGAAAATGGAACATATCAAAAAGAAATTATTAGCACCCCCACCTGAGAAAATTGCACCCCCTGAAAAAAAATCAAGTCATCCCATTGTATTCTTACAATAGTTACTGAAGACCTCTTATCATCATTTAAATTGGTTTTCAAGTTGTGACCATTTGAATTTGTTTTTTTTTTACATTTTCCCCATAGACTTCTATAGTAAACCCCTATGTTCTATTTTTACCAATGGGGACCATGTTGGTTGTAGGGCAGGGTCATCGGATAGATTTTTCAATCAAGATACTCTAATAATAATTGTGGCTAAGTTTAATTCCATTTGGCCAAGTAGATTAAGAGGAGAAGATTTTTGTAAAAGATTAAATTTTTTTACGAAAAACAGTGAAAAAATGACTTTAAAGGGCAATAACTCATAAGGGGTCAATTGACAATCTTGGTCATGTTGATCTGATGAACATTTTAACCCCGTTAGATTTGCTCTAAATGCTTTAGTTTCAGAGATATAAGCCAAAAACTGCATTTTACATCTATTTTAAATTTTTAGCCGTGGCGGCCAACTTGGTTGGTGGGCGCGGTCATCGGATAAAATTGAGAATGGAAATGGGAAATGTGTCAAAGAGAGACAACAACCCGACCATAGAGCAGACAACAGCCGAAGGCCACCAATGGGTCTTCAATGCAGCGAGAAACTCCCGCACCCGGAGGCGTCCTTCAGCTGGCCCCTAAACAAATATGTATACTAGTTCAGTGATAATGGACGTCATACTAAACTCCAAATTATACACAAGAAACTAAAATTAAAAATGATACAAGACTAACAAAGGCCAGAGGCTCTTGACTTGGGACAGGCGCAAAAATGCGGCGGGGTTAAACATGTTTTTTGAGATCTCAACCCTCCCCCTATACCTCTAGCCAATGTAGAAAAAACAAACGTACAACAGTACGCACAGTGAAACTCAGTTTAAGAGAAGTCCGAGTCCGATGTCAGAATAGGAAACAAAAGAAAATAAACAAAATGACAATAATACATAAATAACAACAGACTACTAGCAGTTACTGACATGCCAGCTCCAGACCTCAATTAAACTGATTGAAAGATTATGTCTTCATCCTATGAATATCAGGCACAATACATTTTTTTTAAACTAGATACCCTAAGGATGATCTAGCCCAAGTATGGATATACTTGGCCCCGTAATTTCAGGAGAAGATTTTTGTAAAAGATTACAAAAATTTACAAAACATTGTGAAAAATTGACTTGAAAGGGCAATAACTCCTAAAGGGGTCAATTGACAATTTTAGTCTTTTGACTCGTTTGTAGATCTTACTTTGCTGAACATTTTTGCTGTTTACAGTTTATCTCTATCTATTATAATATTCAAGATAATAACCAAAAAGTGCAAAATTTCCTTAAAATTACCAATCCAGGGGCAGCAACCCAACAACGTGTTGTCTGATTCGTCTGAACATTTTTTGGGCAGTTTGATCTTGACCTAATGAACATTTTTATCCATGTCAGATTTGCTCTAAATGCTTTAGTTTCAGAGATATATAAGCCAAAAACTGCATTTTATCCGTATGTTCTATTTTTAGCCATGGCGGCCATCTTGATTGGTGGGCGGGGTCATCGGATACATTTTTAAACTCGATACTTTAAGGATGATTTAGGCCAAGTTATGTTTAACTTGGCCTAGTAATTTCAGAGGAGAAGATTTTTATAAAAGATTACAAAAATTTTCGAAAAATTGTGAAAATTTGACTTTAAAGGGCAATAACTTCTTAAGGGGTCAATTAACAATTTAGTCATGTTGACTTGTTTGTAGATCTTACTTTGCTGAACATTTTTGCTGTTTACAGTTTATCTCTATCTATTATAATATTCAAGATAATAACCAAAAACTGCAAAATTTCCTTAAAATTACAAATTTAGGGGAAACAACCCAACAACAGGTTGTCTGATTTGTCTGAAAAATTTAGGGCAGATAGATCTTGACCTGATAAACATTTTTACCCCGTCAGATTTGCTCTAAATGCTTTAGTTTCAAAGATATTAGCCAAAAACTCCTATGTTCTATTTTTAGCCATGGCGGCCAACTTGATTGGTGGGCGGGGTCATCGGATACATTTTTAAAACTTGGTACCCTAAGGATGATTTAGGCCAAGTTTGGTTTCAGGGGAGAAGATTTTTGTAAAAGTTAACGACGACGGACGACGACGGATGACGGACGCCAAGTAATGAGAAAAGCTCACTTGAGTTAAAAATGAGCAACAAAAAAATCTACAAAGTAAAAAAAATATAGAAATTGACTTTATGGGCTAGTTTTAATTGAGTTACCATGCTTGAAATGGCAAATGCTAAAAAACGTCTGTTTTCAAAATAAAAGCAGTCAAAGAGCGGTAGGTCTTTTCACCACCGAACACCACCGCACACCGCCGAACACCACCGAACACCCCAAAATTTTTTTAATTTTTTTAGCTTTTATCGTTACAAATGTGTCCTATATATAACATTTAAGTTATTAATTCAACAAATCATAAGATGAAGAGACCACATATCTAAATCGTACAGAAAATAAGAGTCCATAACACCAAAACACCATGGACACCTTTGGCATATTTTTTTTCATTTTTTTCTATGTTTTCTATAAATTAGTAGTTGTACCAATAATAAGAAAAGAGACAAATATCAAAATCATGAACACATGTTAAATATTTCGGATAACACTAATTTCCTTCATCACAAGACAAACAAAACACAACACAACATAAAATATTCTATTTAGCGTAGTGGGGTCATGTGCTCCCAGATGCAGGAGGAAGATACACTAAAGAAGAAATTCAGGAACAGGGAACATGCTAAAATCAAAAAGTCTGGGAAAACAAACTGTGTATGAAAACCTGCAATTGATGGTTGATTTTTAACACCACAAAGAAAGATTTTCAATAATTTTATTTGTGACAATGTTTCCAGAACAATTTTTATTCTATTTTCCTTATATTCTTGCTGCCCTAATTACCTTTCTTGCAGTATGTATTGCATATGCAGCCTATCGCATCAATGAGCTTCACAAAATGTACGACCACATTCCAGGACCAGAAAGAACAAGGTACAGAAATATGTACAGAAGGTCTTTGCTAATTTCTTAGGATGGCTTGATTCTTCTTTAGCAAGTGACGGGATCGTCGATTATGGCAACACAAAAACCCTTTGAAATTTGTTGAACCACTCAAGGATTTGTATCACTATACAAATCCTTGAACCACTGGAGCTCGTGAATCTTATTTTAAGGTATATATATATATGCTCCGGATACATGTCAACTCGTACTTTCGGCAACTCATACTCAACCAACTTGTACCCTATTTTTACCAACTCGTACTTCTACCAACTCTTACCCAATATTTTTTTAACATAATAATGCTTCATTTTTTATTACTTTGTAGTTGATCTACTGATAGGATTTATATCTAAAAAAATCCTCAAATTTGCACGATCCATAGAATATTGGAAAAGGATATTTTTTACTGAATATTGCAATGGACATGTCTTCTTTTCGTGTTAGTATATATATTATGAATACCTTTCTAATCCTTTTGAAACCATAAAGCCAGCACATGTATTAAGCAAATTGCAAAAGTTTTATATATGTTTATTAGTTATTATAATCAATAACAGAAGACTGTCCACGACTCCACGGGCCAAACGGTGCTGTTGATCCATGTGTCTTCTACATACTTGACAAGACGTTGAAGGGGGTCTGTCTGTAGCTGTTTCAGGCGCCTGAAAGCCGGTCTGATATGATCTGCTGGTAGAAAAGGCGAGGCAATCAGCTTGCGGACATACTTAAAAATACAGTCTTGCTGGCGGTATGCAGGCTGCAAAAAAAAAAATAGACATATAAAATATGTACATAAACTGATGAACCTGTTTGTATTATCATTATATGTTTTAACCAGTCTATACCTAAGTATAAAAATGTCTTTCTTTCATCCATTATATTTGACTTAATAGTAACCTATCGTAGTCCATGAATTTGATTCTTATCTTATTTATACCTGGGACTATTATACATGTATATTGTGTCCCAATTTATACATTATTGATGTTCGAAGTGCAGCATTTATTCTGAATTTTTGTTTTTATATACTTCTCTATGTTTTTTTCTTATTTAAACAAATCCATTCTATTTTTGTAGGTCTATTATCCACCAATGACCACTGATTAGTATATTGTGTACTCATAATTATTTTAATATGCATATCAAATAAATTGCCATCCAAACAATTTCAAATAATCAAACAATTTCATATAATCAAACAATTTCATATAATCAAAAAGTCTAAAGACTAATGATTAATGATTAGCATTTGATAAGCTTTGATATATTTGAAACAATTATGATTGCATCATATTAGCAATGAAAGTTTTTTTATTCATATGTTGCTATATTATGATATATACGAAAGAAAGTTACACTAACTACATGTATGTATATAAATAATATCAAATAAATCATGGGTACGAGTTGGTAAAAATAGGGTACGAGTTGGTTTAGTATGAGTTTCCGAAAATAGGAGTTGTTGTGTACTCTATGCTCTCTGCCTAATGCAAACACTGGGAACAAACAATATTTTCATTTGGTAGATTGCGTTCTTTAATAACATTCACGAGCACATGTGGTTGAGCTTAGGAGGTGCTAATCAGAAAAAATAGCTGTAATTTTTATGATCCATCACAAACTCGCCCCATTGCCAAATCGCCTTAGACCTACTCACCCCAACTTTCTAACAACTCGGCCCAATCATGTTTACCAACTCACCACACTTAAAAAGAGTTAACTAGAAATTATAGAATATTGCTTAGGGAATTGATTCATCATACATGTAATTTGAACATAAAATCACTGTCCATCAAACATGTCAAAAGTAGTGATTCTCTAACCTATAGCCAAATTTTTGCAATTGTATCTTGACCTCCCTTCTAATTCATATGTAAGAAATAATGTCTATTTGTTTTTTAGTCTGTTTGTTCATCAGATATTTTCATCACAATTTGCTCAGATACTACTGGTCCAAGGACACAGTTATCGTACTTTGATTTTTGTTGTCTACAAATATAGTCCCTAGTGTGGACAGTGTATAATTTGCCAATTTTTTTCATACACTTTCCAAATTTTTGTCTTTGTATTTTATGCTTGAAATATTAAGTAGGGGGATGAAATTACATAATAAAAAAATTATTATTATTGGTATGTCTGAAGCTGTCAAACTGAAATATAGACCCCCTTAACATAGAATTGTCCATATGTTGAGTTAGAGCTGGTAGACTTTTCTGTAAGTTTGATATTAATTATCCCTAAAAGTAGTACACTACACTGTAAAAATCTTTTTGAGAAAGAGCAGGTGCGATTTTTTGAATTTGAATCTATTGTCTAAAAGAAATGCACTACAAAATAACTGTGTTCTCGGGCCTACTGTCATACTGAACAGAATATTTCACATCAAATCTTTTATGGTAATATTCTATACAAAGCACAAAAATGTCGTCATTCACCTCAAAAGCTAACCAAACTTTAAACAGACTTATTCAGAAGGGATATACATGTAGCTTCGATACTGTTGTCAGGTCATTAATTAAAGATGGGCATTTTTGGGAATTAATATTCATTCACTCATAGGGTCTTTGCATCTGAAATAAACACATTTATTCTAAAACCAGTTGTTGGCAGGATACAGGTTATGTTCATCTCATATATTTTATGATGGTATGATACTAAACCCCTAACGGGAGGGATTGTGCTTGATTTTCATATGATGAAGACATAATCTTTCAATCAGTTTCATTGAGGTCTGGAGTTGGCATGTCAGTAACTGCTAGTAGTCCTTTGTTAATTTATGTACCATTGTCATTATGCTTAGTTTCTTCTGTTACCTATTCTGAGTTTTACTGTGCATATTACTGTATGTTCGTTTATTCTACATTGGCTAGAGGTATAGGCGGATGGTTGAGATCTCACAAAACATGTTTAGCCCCGCCGCATTTTTGCGCCTGTCCCAAGTCAGGAGCCTCTGGCTTGTTAGTCTTGTATGTTTTTTAATTTTAGTTCATATATGTATCTGAGTTTAGCGTGACGTCCATTTTCACTGAACTAGTACACATTTTTATTTAGGAGCCAGCTGAAACCCTCCTCTGGGTGCCGGATTTTCTTGCTGTGTTGAAGACCCATTGGTGGCCTTCGGCTGTTTTCTGCTCTTTATTCGAGTTGTTGTCTCTCTGACACATTCCCCATTTCCATTCTCAATTTTATTCATATTTGGTCAGCATCTTGACAGTGATGAGGTGTATTGTCATTATGGGTTGGAACTTTTCAAATATGTCAGGCACCTATGTTTTCTTCCTGTTTGTGCATACTTTGAATTTTTCAATATTTTTTTGTCCCTTCAAAATCTATTAATCAATTGCACCATACAGCTGTCTATAATCATAGCAACTTCTAACATTCATTTGATTTGATTTTATTTCTATGATTAGTTGTATTATTTTTTTTCAGTTTTTGGACTGGAAATTTGAACTACATTACATCAGCAGACAAAGAAGGAAAACATTTAGGAGATCTATTGCTTGATTTGTATGTATAAAAGATTTTGAAGTAATATACCACTGTAAGATTAAAGAACATATGCTAATTTTCAGGAACATTTTGGGTAGATTAATTTAGTGAATATCATTGCCCAATAGAAGTTTGGCTTTTGTCAAGTTATTTTTAAGGAAGAATTAATGTTATACATGTACATATTTGGTATGATGTTTCTTTAGAATTAATGCACTTCAGTTTCACTGAAAATCTGAGGATCCACCCTTAGGTAATTTTTTTGCCCCTGCCGAAGCGGAGGGGGCATTAAGTTTTACCCTTGTCCGTCTGTCCGTACGTACCTACGTCCCAAAATTGGTTTCTGTTCTCTAACTTTAGTTTGCCTCAACCAAATGTTATCAAACTTATACATAAAGCTTAACTTATTACCACAAAACACAGATCTAGTTTGAATTTTGGTGGCATCACTTTAACCGTTCTAGAGTTATGCCCCTTTATAAATTGAAAAATGGCAAAAATTTTCATTTCCGTTCTCTAAAGTTTGCCTCAACCAAATGTTATGAAATTTATACACAATGCTTATTACCACAAAACACAGATCAAGTTTGAATTTTGGTGGCGTCACTTTAACTGTTATAGAGTTATGCCCCTTTATAAATGGAAAAATTGCAAAATTTTTATTTTCTTCTAAATATCAAGTAATTTTTAAAATTGGAGTTATCTTCCTTTGTCCATGATTATAGTTGAATCAACTACAATCAATGCTTTATACAATGCAATGTTTAATTTTGACTTCCACTGATAAAACACAGATCAAGTTGAATTTGGGTAGTGTCACTTTAACCATTATTGAGTTATGCCCCTTTATAAATCGATATAAATTGAAAAATTTTTAGTTTCCATTCTGTAACTTAAGTTTGCCCCAACCAAACATGAAACCTATACACAATACTTATTACCACAAAACTAAAATCAAGTACAAATTTGGGTAGCGTCACTTTTATTGTTCTTGAGTTATGTCCCTTTATAATGTTGTATGCAAGCGGGGGCATCATCTGTGTCAATGGGGACACAGTCAGATTCTCCATTGATTTATTTTTATGCCCCACCTACAAGAGTGATAGGTGACTTTTATAGGTTCCATTGAACTCTTGGGAAATCATATTTTCACCCTTGTTGCTCAAAATACCCAAGAGAAAGCAAACTGTTAGTTTTCAAGATTTTATTTGGAGAATAAACACAGATATACCATGCAGTTCTTATTTATGATTGATTTTAAAATGCGAAGACAAATTGTTGAAATATCCTGTAAAAAACAAGGGTAATTGCTGAAGAGCTTAAAGTCATATGAAACGAGTTTCTTGTGATTATAAAGTTTAGGAAATTATTGAACCAATGTATGCATATGTATTAAACTTAGATCTCTGTGCACATTTTTTTACACTTATTTCAAATTCATAGCATTTAATCGACAAAATGTATTTCATTCTTTGGGTGCTGATCTAAATTTTGGCTGCTAATTAACATTCTGGTTTTGGTACAAAAGTAAATGTATAAAGATTGTGACCTTGATAAACAAACAACACAGACTCATGGAGCACAAACATAATTAGTGAGATGATAGAGCTTTTTTCCTTTGCACTTGTGCTGTGTGGTTGTCTAATTTCTAACATGATGTGTCATGGTTAACATCACTGCATACAGGAAATCTGTCTGCAAATAAGGGTATGGGAAGACAATAATTCAAAAGCAGTACATTTCTGAAGATTTGGATGAAAAAAGGGATTTACTTTTAAAAGAAAGTCTATGTACACATGTTTTACAGTAAACCTTAGCCATTCAAGTGACTAAAATATTATATATTCATTTTTGAAGTATCATATGACTTTAAGAAGATTGAATAGGTTCTATAGAGTTAGAAAGTGGCCATAGAAGTCATTTGGTATAAATTGTAGTACACAAAAAATGTACTAGATGAGCAGTAAAATCTATTTTGAACCTCAAACGACAATATGATTTTTCAGTAAATCTGTGGTTGTTATAAAAATTTTGAAATAAGATTATTAAATTTTAATACATGTATCAGCAGGATATGCATATTTTAGGTTTATATTTCAGAGCGAAGAAGTATGGACATACATTCAAATTAATTCTGATTTCTAAACCAATAGTGGTTTCTGTTAACCAAGAAGCAGTTAAGGTTTGTAAAACATATTCATAAAACCCATATGCTCATTCTTTACAATATGGTCAAAATGGCTACTGGCATTGACCTAGTGCTACTCTGTTCTCTATAAACTACAGCTACATGCATCTTTGAAGGAACATATGCAGGAGTAATTGCTTAATTTTAAATAAAACTCCTGAAGTTTTGATGTTCAATATTTGGGTTCTCGTAGGTATAATAAGAGTATACCATAAGTTTAGGATGAGTGTGTGCTGTTTATGCCCTTGTAGCCATTTCTGCTTATAAATATGATTTTGTTTTAGCTTGATATTAATATTTCAAAGCTTGACATATAATAAAATTTCTCTAATTCTTACCCAATTTATCCTTTTCCTGACCTATTGATTATTTTTATTTAATCAACGTGTGGTTAGTTTGATCTCTGTTCTTCATTGGTTAAAATTCGATTATGACGTCAAATTTTCTTGCTTTCCTCTGAATATCCTATTGTGACATCATGAAAAAAGGCAACCATGCCTGATGATGTCACACAGAAAGAACACATCTTTTTGCAGATAATTCGAAAGTAAGGATTAAGATTTGTCTGCATATCGTCTAAAAATCATTAGAGAAAAGGATTCCACCACCTAATCTCGTGCAATGTGATGTTTATCCACTCTCAACAGTCAAATTTTAGATATTAAAAACGCTTGGCAAACCTCGCGTTTTAAATTTGAAAATTTAACTGTCTCAAGTGGATAAATATCGTATCACACTGGATGCAGTGGTAGAATCTATATATATATATATATATATAGATACTTGACTACTTTTGATGTATTAATGTTGACAAATAGAGGTAATTTTGACTGTGCTGTTTTAAAGTGTTATTGCTCATGAGTTGCTCTCATGTTAATTTAAAACAAAATGTGAAGAAAAAATTCGTATATGTTGATTTTTTTTTACAGCATGATTTATTCATTTTAAAAGGTATTACAGTTGAATTTAATGCTATTTCCATCCTCAAACAATACTGTTCTAATTTATGAGATTTCTTTCTTTAATGGTAAACTTCATATTAATAAATAGAAAAAGATGTTTTAGGAATTGTTAGTCACTGGTGGTCACAAGAAGTCAGATGATATCTATAAAAGAGCAAGTAAAGTATTTGGAAACAGGTAACATTTTGATTTTTATATGACCTCAAAAAAAACTTCAGTTTAAGTGTATGGATCTCTATGAAATTTAACTAAAGGTTCAATACACTAAAGGAAGGTTGGGATTGTTTTTCGGGGTGATGGTCCCAACCGTTAAGAATTTAGGGGCCAAAAAGGGTCTAAAACAAGCATTTTTCTAGTTTTCAGACAATAACTTGTGTTTAAGTGTATGGATGTCACTTTATTTGTACCACATTCTTCAAAAAGAAAATTTCTTCAAAATTATTTTTTTTGGAAGGGGGAGGGAGGTGGATAAATTTTTTTTTTTGGGGGGGGGGGGGGGGGGGCAATTTTTTCCCTCAAAAGAAAATTCTCTTCTTTTTTGGAGGGGGGGGTTAAAAAAAAATTTTAGGAGGGGGATCAATTTTTTTTCGCTCAAGATTTAAGAAATTGTCAATTTTCCATAGAAAAAAATTGGGGGTCACAATTTATTTTGCTAATTCTTTGTATATACTATATAGTCTGAAAACAGATTTTCTAAGTATTGCGCAACAGCACAGTGTATTGCACAACAGCAAGAAATCTTCAATTGAATATAAATTCAAATCATACAACCAATTTCAAGTTCTTTGACTACTTCTGTGTCAGAAACCTATAATGTGTCCAATATTTAATTACAATCCAAATTCAGACCTGTATCAAGCTTGAATATTGTGTCCATTTTTGCCCCTACTGTTCAGGGTTGGACCTCTGTGGTCGTATCAGCTGCACTCGGCGAAGCAGTTTATTTAAAATGCAAACACTATATAATGTCTTTTTAAGTTAACCATCATTCTTGTGAAGTCATTGCATTGTTTTGAAAAAAACAATACAGAACACACAAAAAATTATAATATGGGTCTTTAAAAAAGAGCAAAACAACATCAAAATAAGTAAATCAATCAATTGCACCCTACCAGGTAAAGATTGAAAAGAATCGATATATATAATTGGCTTTATAAACTGCTTTCTTGGAAGGAATTTTATGTTTTTGGAAAACAAATAATTAAGGAGGACTGGGCAAAAGGCAGTTATAGTAATTGTGCCATGTTTCCAGAAGTATGTATTATTTCAAACTCTGGTTCACCAAGGCTGACTTGGGAATAGAAATATGGTCACTTGGTCTTCCTTCAGCAATAAAACCCTTGCCAAAGTGGGCTGTCCTTTTGGCTGTGTGACATGTTCAAGTATGCAGCCAGGTCGTGTCAGAATGGGGATGTTAAATCTGGTGCCACATGTAAAGAGAGTTCCATGCTCTCTGCAGGTTAAGAATCCTTGCAACAACTCTTTGAGGGGTCAGTAGGTGGCCTGTTGCAAGGTAAAATTTCTGTCCCTATCCAATATACCCTAAATTTTCCGTGGCAGTCTAAATTTCCCTGACCTTCATCCTGGACAGCCTCTATTACAGGACCTATATTATACCTATTGTAACCAACAATCAATCAATCAATCAAACTCCCAAAAGTGTAAAACTATTGAGTCTGAGCTATGGCTACCATGATCATCAGCAATTGTTTATATTGTTCACAGATTCAGGGTTAGATTTCAAATCCTAATGACTCTAAGGAGGGGATTATTTTTTTACATTATTCAAAGGATTGTGAATAAGGATATTAAATGTGTCATGTTTTTGGTAAATTATTGTCATAAGTTTGATTGTAGTTTCTTTCAGTTATCAGGACCATATATATATATGATTCATATAAAGGTTATACAAGAGAACGACCAAAAACATTGAGCAGTATAAAAGACCACACCAACCACCAACATTCAATGCTTTTAGAAAACAGATGTAAAAAACAAACAACACATGGTTCAGATAGTCTGACTAGGTACAGGCACTAATTATGGGGGTGTTAAACCACTTTTGTGTGTACAACCGCCCCCTACCCCAACCAATTACCTATTTAGACCATATGATGTAAAAGTAAAATGCAGAATTAAACCTGCATATTGCATGGGTCAGACATCTTGAAGGGGAGATAACTCAAATTACTAAAATTTTCAATATTTTCAAAAGTGTTTATACATATTTTTCTTCAAATATAAAATGAACATTGTTGGATATTTAAAACAGTAATCAGGATGTTGACATTTATGAAATTTTTTTTACTTACATGTTTTTTTAGATGTCTTGGTAATGGACTTGTGACTGAAACCAACATTGAAAAATGGAGCCTTAAAAGAAATCTCATGAATCCAGCATTTAAAAGAGAGTTTGTATATTAGTAACATTCCTTTTTTGTTGCCTTTCAGTGTACCAATTTTAATGCACCAGCATGTTGTGCATTTCAACAATTAATGTCTCTTCAGTAATGCTTGAGTCCAAAATGTTTGAGTATCAAAAATCTAATACAAATGTTGAAGAGCGGATCAAACCAAATAAGAATTTAATTTAAAAAATTCTGATGAATCCTGTAACTTATAAGTTATATTAATGTAACAAGTGTTTCTTAGACTTATGTACCTCAAAATGATGTCTAGGTTACAAATAAAATAGCTTAGACTTATGTACCTTAAAGTGATGTCTAGGTTACAAATACAATAGCTTAGACTTATGTACCTTTAAGTGATTTCTGGGATACAACATAGTGAGATATTGCATTACTGTCCTTCTTTAAAAGTATTATATGATGTTAAATATGATATATTTATCAAGTTTTTTCTCAAAACTCTGGTCATTGAAATTCAATAACTTGTGAAAATTGGCAGATACTTCACAGGAAATATTTGTTTATTCATCATTAGATTTGAGGGGGCTTCATAGTTGTCTTATTAACACAGTAGACAGGGAGTGTTACAATACTATAAATAGCTACCTTTCTTAAAATTTCTGTATGGAGTTTTACTATTCTCTTAGATTACACTTATCTCATGCAATTGAAGAGACATATGGAATTCTAAGGGTTTTAAAGGAGTAAGACCCAAGCTGATAATATTTTATCTCACCTTTCACTAAGGTACCTTTTTTTTCATCAATGCTTTGTCTTCATGCCATGCTTATATAATTCTATGCCTTGTGTAGCTATTTAACTATTACGGACTAAAACATCCAGAAAAAAAAAATATTTAGATTTAAAACATTTAAATTGTAGATACTTGATAGAATTGATGAGTCAGTTTAATGAATGTGTTGATAAATTAATTGTCCAGTTACACAAATTTGCTGATGACAAATCACCAGTATGTATGATGACACAATTTTCCAGGACAACATTAGATGTACTGTCCAAGGTACTGTCTGAAAATTGTATAAATGGTATATTTGCTTTTCTTTGACTATAGCCCAAAACTTTCATGAAACTACATTTAGTTTTTGTTTCAGCTGCAACGAAAGTAGCAGAAGGCGAGATATAGGTATTGATTTTCCAGTGGTGATGGCATCAACAATTGTTTTCTGCTTAAGTTAGTTTGACAAGAACTACTTGTGATAGATCAATGATATGTTGTATGAAGTTGCATTACTGTCAGTACATACTGTTTGATGACTATTTTGAGGCCCTGCCTCCTAGGTCATGGTCCAGTGACTTTAAATTTAACTACGTCATCCCGTTTCCAGGACCAGATGAGATGTTCGTGTGCATGTGTAACTTCAGTTCGTAGCTTTATTTCATAGAGGGCAGACGTGGTCTGTAATTGTAGCTTCTATAATGAAATATTTTATTACTATAACTACGAGGTAGTTAATATTTGTTGTTTAATCAATTAAATAAACTCGAGGGGTTTATTGTTTATTTTAATTTTATTTATTTTTCTCTGTTGTAAATTTACGGTAATTAGACCGATTTACGGCAGTTGATATTTTTTTAGTAACAATGGCGGACGCCATGCTCTCTAAAACTGATGCAAAATCTTTGAAGAAAGGTTCTAGTGCTTCAAATGAGGCAAAAGGTAAAAACCCGAAAAGAAAAGCATCTGGTGATGATTCTCGTTCCAAGAATGACGATACAAGTAGTAGTAATGGGGCAAAGATTGTCAGCTCTGGCGAGGCCGGAACTGTTACTTCACGACTAAAAGGTTTTAGTCAAAATACTAGCGAAGCTAGCAAAGAGCCCACTTTAGCTGATGTTTTTTTCAGTCCTGAAAAATATACAGCAAGAACAGAGTTCACAAAAAACTGATTTCGTGTCTCTCAAGTCAATGGTAGACGAGTTGTATTTTGCTGAGCCTGAGGGTTACGATGAAAGCCAGGGTGCAGACCCTGAAGCTTATGATGAAAATAATAATCATGACAATAATGATCATGTTGTAGATGCTGAGGTTGCAGAACCTCCAGCTAAAAAACAAAAAACTGTTGACAAAGAGGGTGACAATGTTTTTAAAGCTGCTGCACAAGCTTATAGGTCTAAAGATAATGTAGATACAAGTGTAGATGACACATTAGCTGATACTGTTAATGAATTTTTCCGTGAGGGAATTTCTGATGAAAAATACAATGAACTGATGAAATCAATGGCTAGACCAGAGAATTGTGTTTCTCTTACAAGAACTAGAGTTAATCAGCTTATTTGGGATTTACTCTCTCCTCAAACTAGGTCCTTTGACTCAGTTATACAACAGCATCAAGAAACTGTTGTAAAAGCATCTTGTAACATTACAAAATTGTTAAAACATGTTGTGTAAGCTAAAACCTGACTTGGGTGACGATTGTCAACAAGAAATGCAGTCGTGCATAGATTTGGGGATTGATTCGATAGCTTTACTGTCACAATATAACAAGATGATGAATGTAAAGAGAAAGGAATATCAAAGATTTGATTTAAGTCCTGAATATCATCACTTGAGTTCACCCTCAATTCCTTTCACTGACATGCTTTATGGTGACAATGTCCATCAAAAGTCAAAAGAAATTCAAGATATGAACAGACTTGGTCGTAATTTAAATAAAAAGAATTATGCAAGAGGTAGAGGAAATGGTTTTTCTCGAGGAGGTAGTTTTGGTAGAGGCCGTGTAGGCTCTCGTGGTGGATACAGAGGTGGTCGTGGCCGTGGTTACGGTGGTAGAGGCCAGTATTCAAATGATCAAGGTGCTTCAAAAAACTTGAGAGGTGTTCCAAGTTTCCTGAGGAAGTAAATTATGCTAAACAGGTAAGTTTAGCGGGTGTCTCTGATATCAAAACTTTTACAGCAGGTAGATTGAAAAATTATGTTGAAAACTGGCAAAAAATTACTTATGATAAATTTATTTTGGATACAGTTGAACACTGTCACCTTGAATTTATTGATAATTCAATACCCACTCAAAGTCTCACACCATATCAAAGAATTTTTGATAAAGGCCAAGAAAAAATTATAAATGATGAGATAGAAAATTTGAAAAATTTGGGTGTAATAGTGGAAGTTAATTTTGATACAGATCAATATATCTCTCCAATTTTTACAGTTCCAAAGAAAAATACAAATGAGCATAGAGTGATTCTTAATTTAAAAGAGTTGAATAAATTTATTATTCCCCATCATTTCAAGATGGATACTTTTGTTTTTTCAGTTCAATTGATTTGCGTCATGCATATTATTCTGTTCCTATAGCAGAGGAACATCAGAAACTATTACGTTTTATATGGAAAAACAATATTTTTCAATATACTTGTTTACCAAATGGTTTGCTATCAGCACCTAGAATCTTTACAAAGTTAATGAAGCCTGTTTTTGCAACTTTACGGCAATTTGGTTATATGAATGTAGCTTATATTGATGACTCTCTTTTGCTTGGAGATACTGAAGATGAGTGCATAGAAAATGTACAAAATACTAATGATTTAATGGAGTGGCTTGGTTTTATAATTCATGAAAGAAAATCTGTTTTCAAGCCTGCCAAACAAATTGTCTTTTTAGGCAATATTATTGATTCTTTATCTATGACAGTTGTGTTGCCAAAAGAAAAAGTAGAAAAAATTGTATTAGAATGTCAGAATCTGATCAAGAAAAATACAGCTAGTATAAGATTAGTTGCCCATGTTATAGGCTTGTTAATATCCACTCTTTCAGCTGTGGATTTTGGTCATTTATATTACAGAAATTTAGAAATTGAAAAGATTCAGGCTTTAAAATTGTCATTTGGAAATTTTGATCAAAATATGACTATAACATCTGCCATGAAAGCAGATTTATTGCGAACCAAATGAAAGTCTTCCACAGAGTCGTCTGCGCTTGACCAGGGTATTTAAACTTTTGTCTTTTCTCTTGTCCTATTGAATAAATACAATAGCTATTGTTCTCTGTGTAGTTTTTTCACTGGGACCTTTAAATTTCTTCTAGGAGAAATCTATCACTCATTGATTGATTTACCTGACCAAAAAATTATCTTCTTTTTTGGGGGGAAATAGTTGTATAAACTTGCATAAACTGCATGCAATATTGTATTTAATCAATATCAATAATATATTTTCAATCTGTTCAATATAAACACTGATTTAATTATAAAAGTTTATTTCTGACAAAATTTTTAGTATTGTTCCAATGAATTTGCATGTTTTTGTTGTTGTTCAGTTATAGAATACATTTATCAAGACCTTAATTTAAACACAATAATTTTCAAGTTTTTATTTGTCAAACACACAAAAAAAAGCAAATTTTAATAGGGAAAATATAAAAAAATTGTTCAGAAATCAACTTTTAATTTTTGAATCAGTATTTATATTGAAACTATTAAAAATGAATTATTGATATTGAATAAATACAACACCACATGCAGTTTTTTTTAGTCCTTATTTAGTATTTGTACATGTATTTTCATTTTTGACAGTTCAGTTTTTTGTTCAGGTAAATTAATCAGTAAGTGATAGATTTCTCTTGGAAGAAATTTAAAGGTCCCATCAAATAAACTACACAGAGAACAATAGCTATTGTATTTATTAGAAGGGACAAAAGAACTTACAAAAGTTTAAATCGACAGGTAACTTGCAGGTGAATCTGTGGAAAGGTATCATTGGGTTCGCAATAAAATGGTGGGTTGAAAACTTACATTGTCAGAAAAGAGTCATTAATAGGAAAAATCTGGTTTTTCTATGACAACTGACGCATCATTAAAAGGCTGGGGTGCTTTATTTAAAGACCAAAAATTTCAAGGAAGATGGAATGATGTTGAGCAAACTTATCATATAAATGTTCTGGAATTGTTAGCCATTTCTTTTGTAAAAATTATTCAGATATACATGTGAAGATTTTTTGTGACAATTCTAGTGCAATTGCATATGTAAACAATATGGGTGGTATAAAATCCATGCAAATGAATGAAATAACCAAACTTTTGTGGGTCTAGTGTATTGAAAGAAATATATGGATTTCAGTAGAACATATTCCTGGTAAATATAATGCTGCAAATGTTGAATCAGGAAAAATTGATGATCATTTAGAGTGGATGCTTGATAAACAAGTTTTCCATAAATTAGTGGAGATTTGGGGTACTCCAGGCCATGATTTATTTGCCTCTAGAATAAATTGTCAAGTTGAGAGTTTCTCGTCGTGGAAACCTGATCCTGAGGCAGTATTTGTAAATGCTTTTAGCATTTTATGGTCTGATGAGGTATTTTATTATCTTTTTCACCCTTTTTCTCTAATTAGTAGATGTCTACAGAAAGTTCAGAAAGACATTGCAGAGGTTCTGATGATTGTACCATTATGGCCGACTCAGACATGGTACCCAGTACTTCTAGAAATGTTGATAGATTTTCCAAAAATGTTGCCTCGAAAGAAAAGACTGCTGTCCATTTCAGGAATGGAAAAGATTCATCCTCTTCACAATCAGTTAAAGTTTCTTGCTTGTCGGTTATCAGGAAAAATTGGGAAATTCAAGGCATTTCAGACAAGGCTTCCAAAATCATTTTGGCGTCTTGGCGAGACAGTACGAAAAAGCAATACTCAACTTATGTCAAGCAATGGTTCCGTTTCTGTAGTAAAAGGAAAATTGATCCACTTCAACCAGCTTTAAATGAAGTCTTAGATTTTTTAACAGTGCTTTTTGATAAAGGATTAAGTTATAGTACGATAAATTGTGCAAGATCTGCTTTGTCAGCCTTAGGAATAATGTTTAATGGAGTGACAGTTGGCTCTAACGCTACAATCATCAGATTTTTGAAAGGTGTATATAATTTGCGACCTTCAGAACCTATATATAGTGAAACTTGGGACGTATCTAAAGTTTTTAATTTTTTACGGAAGTTATCTCCCGTAAAGTATATTTCGTTGAAAGATTTAACATTGAAGTTCGTAATGTTAATTGTTTTATCCACGGCTTGTAGGACACAGTCATTATTTTTGCTATGTTTAGACAATTTAGTAAAAGGAAAGGATAGTTATACCTTGTTTTATTCAGGTTTATTGAAACAGAATAGACCTGGGTTTAATGTACATTTTGTTGAACTTTTTGCTTATCCTCCAGATAGGAGATTGTGTGTTTTTACTGTTTTAAAAGAATATTTGATGAGAACAGCTAAAGCTCGCGGTAATAGTCAGAAGCTTTTTATTAGTTATGTGAAACCGTTTAAAGCCGTTTCAAGAGAAACAATTAGCAGATGGATCAAAACTGTAATGTCCAAATCAGGAATAAATTTAAAATCATATTCTTCACATAGCACTAGGTCAGCTGTTGTTTCTAAGGCTTTCCATAATCTGATTCCTGTGGAATGTATTTTACGAAGAGCTGGTTGGACCAGTGAAAAGACTTTTGCTAAATTTTATAAGAAGCCGATCGAGTCAGATGAACAACGTTTTCAGAGAGCTGCTCTGAGTACATAGAACTTTATTTATAAAATTAACATTGTATATAGGAGGGATATTTTTTTTTTGGAGGTTTTTTAATGTAACTTTTTGACTTATCTCAGGGCTTGTGCTCTTTGAAGTCTCATCTGGTCCTGGAAACGGGATGACGTAGTTAAATTCCAAAACTAAACGAGACTTACCCTGGTAAAAATTGAAGTTCAGTTGGAATTTAACGTAGTCATCTTTAGTTGTAGGGATCAGATGCCCTCCCGATATCCCTCCCCTTTTTGTGATGTTGTACTTAGTACTTTTGTATGCACAAACCCTTCGACTTTGAAGACTGAAGTTACACATGCGCACGAACATCTCATCTGATCCCTACAACTAAAGATGACTACTTTAAATTCCAACTGAACTTCAACTTTTACCGAGGTAAGTCTCGTTTAGTTTTGGAATTAATTAGCAATTTTCAATGTTAAGTTTTCTGCTTAAGTTAGTTTCATATGAACTACTTATGATAGATCAATGATATTTTCTATAAAGTTGCATTACTATAAGTACTTTGACAACTATTTCTACTCCCTTCCCCCTTAGGTCATGGTCCAGTGACTTTCAATTAGTTACCAATTTTCAATATTAAGTTTGTTTGATACTTACAATAGGCAACAATATTTTCTATAAAGTTACATTACTGTCTGTACAATTCAGTTTGTCCAGCGACTTTGAATTAATTAGCAATGTTGCGGTCCATTAGATTGTCATTTTTCTGAATTTTATTGCGACAGGCGAGACATATCTCTGTGTCAACAGTTAATTTTTTTTATTATTCGATTAAGAAATGTAAAGTTACAAGTCAAAATTAAAATTCAACAACTTTTTTTTGCTACATTCAATCATACCTAATGTCACTTTTACATCATAATTGAGCTTTTATATGATGAAATTTAAAATTAGAATTAAGGCCTTTTTAAATTTGAAAGTTTTTTCCATATATAAGGAAAGAGACATTTAAAATGCATTAAACCAGCAAATCGAGGGGAAATTTTACCAATACCATGCTTTGAAAACATAACACTGTTTACAGAAAACAGCAAAATATTTGATTTATTTTAATTTATAAATTTTAAAATTTAATTATTGTGTCTTAGCCAGCATATTACCCTATCAAAAAATTAGGGCTAAATCTGGGCCTTTTTTACTTCTCCTTTGATTAAGCAGTTTAATGATAAATTGTTACATTAAGACATGAATTTTAGGTAGCTTTTGATAAAGAAGTCAACAGTTTGGAAAATGATGACCATCAGTTACCTACAGCAATTAGACGTATAATGGATGGAATGTCTATAAAGAAACTTTCACCATATGTACAAGTATGTAATATCAAATAACCATAAGCAAATACTTCCCAATGAAATTTACATGCATGGGTTAAATTATAGACAATTCTAAAAGGTCCTTTGGAGATTAACAAGTATTATATGGCCAGACCATATGGTAACTTCTTAATTGTCCTTAGGATGGAAACTTATGGCCAGACCATATAGCAATTTCTAAAAACTACACGAAGAAATTAATATTTGAATTCGATTAAAAATTTATTAATGTTACTAGGATACATCTTTTATTAGAGAGGCGAAAGATACCAGAGGGACATTCAAACTCAGAAGTCGAAAATTGATTGACAACGCCATGGCTAAAGAGAAAAAGACCAACAGACAAACAATAGTACACTAAACACAACATAGAAAATGAAAGACTGGGCAACATGAACCCCACCAAAAACTGGGGGTGATCTCAGGTGCTCAGGAAGGGTTAGCAGATCCCTTATTAGGTTTATTAGGATATGCTTGATTGAACAAAAAAAAAATAGTTTTTAATGATGCATATTATTTTCATTTGGCATAATAAAGGCATTGCATTAACACTGAACTAACAGTAGTTTTAGGAGAGAAATGAAATCACAGGTCTTATAGTACCTCTTTGAAATATAAATGTGAAGAGAGAAACCAATGTCCATATCCCAAATTCTGGTGATTGGGAGTTTCATTGGAGTAAGGAATCAATTAAAAAAAAATCGTCTTTGGGATATATTTGTGTTGTTGATAATAATTGTGATTCTAATTATATGGTGTGTTTTTGGTGGAAGAAGACTTCAAGTCTTCTGAAAGCCTTTACTGCCGGCTGTAAAATCATTGAACCGTTACCAGGTTGTATGCCGTATCCCTTTCTGTGTATTACAATTTCATTACAACTTCCGTGCCATTTCGTGACACCGATTTTTACACATGATTAAGCATCTGCATTATTTAATTTATAAGTTAGGCTTGAAAAACAATCACTATCGTAAGTGTTATAGTTTCTCATGTTTTAATGTAAAAATATATACCCTTTTATTTATGTAAATTATTAGATTTCATCTCATCTTACATGAACGTTATTTGTTTACTTGTAACCGGATGTTTTTAATGTAGATTATTGTAGTACGCATGCGTGAATTTAGTATCGGGTCGGTTCGCCCTTTTTAAAAGTTTGCCCTTGGTCTGTTCGTCCTAAGTTCTTCCGCCCATAGAGTACGTTCGCCCTAAGTTCCTTCTACTTACTTTTATCAATGACGTTTTATACGTCCTTTCATTTATTAAAAAAAATATTAATATTAAGGGTATTCAATTTTAATAAACTTATTCAGATAATAATTTTATATGGTATAAATTCTCGAAATTCATGAAAACACATGAAATAAAAAATAATTACGAAAGTTTCAAAATATATATAAACAGAATTGCATATATTCATACAATCCATCTTTTGTTGAAGTCAAGTATCTTTGTGGAGAGTACGACTTCAAATCAATGATGCTTAAAAAAATACACGGATTGGGTTGTTCCGTCTACGTTTAGATCTTTAATGCAATCAAGTCATATTCCAGTTTTAGACAACATGTGCTTTTTAATACGAAAGTTAGAATATTTTAGTATGTTATGGCGATAATAAAGAGTCAAGCGCACACGTGAATCTGCTGGTGTGTTACACATCAAACGATGCACCGTCGGTCATTGTCGAAATGTCCCCAATGATTGTCTTTATTCCCTTACGATTCAAAGTTTTATAAGTGACAAAAAACGGGATCTTAACAACTAAATAGTCCAGCTCTTTACCGTTATTCGTCATTTAGGTACACCCATTATCGAGGCTCGAGTACGGAACCAGTTTGAAATGCTGATAAGTGCCCAAAACCCAATTCTTGGCCTGACACATATCTGCATTGGATATATTTAGAATTTTTCAATATCTGTTTATATTGAAAACCCTAGTTTAAACAAACTTGACTAAAATCTTGGTAGCCAGTTTTTTTTAAGGTCAACTATCTACCTTTGACAGAAAACTTTTAAGTGAAACCAAATCAATTAATGTTATAATTGCTTGGCAAATTTGCATTGCATCAAGTTGACCTTTCCGAGACGAATGTATGGAATCTAGTTATAGAAAAATTAATTTGAATCAACAGTATTTGCAGATTTTTATGTTAAGTATAGTGAGTTTTGGTTGAGTTATGAGTCTAACTATTTTTTGAAGAAAAAAATACGTCAAAAGCAATAATGGGACAAAGCAGACTGGTTTCGTGGGCTGCTCTTATGGTAATTCAAGTTACCTTTTATGCATCTTCTTCCACCTCAGAGCAATCAGCTCTTTGATTAGTTTTATTATCTTATGTATTGTGCACAGAAATGTACTCAATTGCATAGAAGTGCCCCCAAAGAATTTTCATTCAATTACTATAATTTGTTTCAGAATAGTCCAACTTACTGGTTTTATAGAAGAAATGTTAGGAAGAGTGTAGAACTGATTAGAGAAACAGGCAAAACATGGATAAAGGAAAGAATACAGGCTATTAACAATGATGAAACTGTTCCTAATGATATTCTTACACACACAGTCAAAATGATGGGTAAGAGTTGGTTCTTGTTGTATGACTTATATATGGTAAAAACCGAAGGTATTGATATGTGACATTCCCTTTTCTGTATCATTCAATACTGATTGACCAAACCAATAGACTTTATTATATATAAACTTTTCATGTACACATTCTGTTTATATTTTTATAATACCTCCACACCCTCTGTTACTTTCTGGACCATGTTATAAGATTTTCCCAAAAGTTTTCATTCCCAAAATTTGTACAGCCACTTATAAGAAATTATCTATATACCCTGCTATGAAGAAGGGGGTAAACTGTTTTACTCCTGTCTGTCCATCCGTATGTCCATCCATATGTCTGTCAGACACATTTTTCTAGGGAACTACAAATGACAGCTTTCTGAAATTTGTTATCAGGATTCATATTAGCATGCTTTTTACCTTTTGACAGTTTTAGATTCATGGTTCATCAAATTCCTGTTTACTGAATACTTATATATATCCTAAAAATAATGGCTATGTATGAAATTTGTTGTCACATTTTTGTTGAGCCTTCGACTTTGAGAGTTAGTGAGTGAGACATAGCGATCCTACATTCTGTCGGCGGCGGCGGCGTCCACAAATATTCACTCTGTGGTTAAAGTTTTTGAAATTTTAATTACTTTCTTAAACTATCCTGGATTTCTACCTAACTTGGGCAGAAGCTTGTTTATGATCATAAGATAATATTCAAAAGTAAATTTTGTAAAATAAAAAATCCTGTTTATCCGTATTTTACTTATAAATTGACTTGGTTTTTTTGCCAGGAAACATTACATTCACTCTTGTGGTTAAAGTTTTTGAAATTTTAATAACTTTCTTGAACTATCCTGGATTTCTACCAAAACTTGGAAAGAAGCTTGTTTATGATCATAAGATAGTATCCAGAAGTAAATTTTGTAAAAAAAAAATTTAATTTTTTCCGTATTTTACCTATAAATGGACTTAGTTTTTCTGCCAGTTAACATTACATTCACTCTGTGGTTAAAGTTTTTCAAATTTTAATAACTTTCTTAAACTATCCTGGATTTGTAATAACTTGGGCAGAAGCTTGTTTATGATTAAAAGCTAGTATCTAGAAGGAAATTTTGTTAAAATTTTGTTCCATTTTTTCCGTATTTTACTTATAAATGGACTTAGTTTTTCTTCCAGTAAACATTACATACAGTCTGCAGTTTAAGTTTTTAAAACATTTATTAGATTCATAAACTATCCTGGATTTTTATCAAACTTGGACAGAAGCTACTTACAATCAAAAGATAGTATAGAGAGGAATATTTTTATTATTTTTTTTCCTCATTTTTGTTGAGCCTGCGATTAACAGCAAAAGTAGGGAAGACACTGGGTTCCTTGGAACCCTTACAAATTTTTAAATGAAACTATAGATAATAGCTTCCTGAAATTTTTGAAAAGGCTTCATGTCAGCATGCTTAGCCACGTAAAATGGTTTCAGATTCCTCTCTCATCAACTCCTTGTTTACCATATATTTATATATAATTCTAACTTCATACTGACCATGTATGATATTTTCAGCGTATTTTTCTATGGAAGTACAAATAAGAGCTTCCTATCAGGCTTCATGTAAACATGCTTAACTGTGTTATGAATTTTCAGATTTGTTTTTCTTCAAATTTCTGTTTACCAAATACTTAAAACTTCTTATGAACACGCTATATGTGATCATGGTGATGCACCAGAATCATTGTTCAACTTCCTGTTTACCTAATAATTTTATATTCTTTCACATAAAGGCAATGTGTGAAATTTTTTTATGCATTGTTGTAGGGAATTACAAATAAGAGCTTCCTGAATTTTGTTATCAGGGTTGATGTGAGCATGCCCTACTGGGTGATGTGTTTTCAGATCTATTGCTCATCAACTATATGTTTACCTAATACACATATATTCTAACTACATAATGTTAATGTATGAAATTGTCATAGAATTATTCTAGGGCACTACAAATAAGAGTTTCTTGAAATTTGTTATTTGGCTTTGTGTGAACATGCTCTAAAGTGTAACTTCCTGCATATGTAATACTTTAATACTTTAACATCATGGCAATGTATTAAGTTTTAGTCCCATCTTTCTAGAGAACTACAAGTAAGAGCTTCCTGAAGTTTTTCATCAGGCTTGAACATGTGAACATGCTAAACTGTGTGATGCATTTTTCATTCTTCTTCAATTTTCGGTTTAGCTTATACCTATATATATTCTTACATATTATGACCATTTATGAAATTTAATTCAAAGTTTTCTCAAGATCTACAAATCAGAGCACCCTGCATTTTTGTATCAATATTTATGCTTTGTGATTGGTTTTCACATACAATTCTCTTCAACTTCCTGTTGACCAAATACTTAAAGCTGGGGTATCTTTTTGTGAAATAGCTCACAGTTTTACTTGTTTTGAGTTGCTTTAATGACAAAGGGAATGGTCACACTAAATAATATTTTTTGTATCTTTGTAACAGGTGAGAACACTGATCTTGATTTTGAAGAAATTATTGATGACTTCTGCACTTTTTTCATAGCAGGTTGGTATAATAATAATGACACAACTCCACTGCATGAGTTAGAATTCAAAATATAAAGTATGACTATTGGTGGGTTTAAAGGTAAACATTCTTCTTAATCCTTCTTGTGTTTTTAATAATGTAAATTTTGGGTTGACATCAAAACAGCTTATTTATAACTTTTTTTAAGTCAGAAAGGGCAATTTAAACCCGGATTTTATTGTTTCACTTGTTTTATTTCACTTATTTAAAAAATACATACAGGCATCATCGAAATGAGTCCAATGATAAGTTAATTGATATTTAAAAAAAATAGCGATTTAAATTAGATTAAGTACTGTATTTGGTGTATAAAGAAATGTACTGTAAATGACAATAAAAGGACAATTTTAACATGACAAACAGCTTCCAAAATAAAATGCTGAAAATAGGGTAAGAGAAATTTTTATCAACGTTATACAAATGTACTTAACCCCCTTAGGAAACTTATCCTCCCTTAGGAAACTTGTTTTCATAGGGAGATTTCCAAATTATAAAATTGTAGCTTGAAACAAGAGTTCTAATATTTTGAAAGAGATTTACACCATAATGATAGTAAGTGACAAATAACCCAATATATGATTACAACCAATATATCCAAAATTATTGAAATGCAACTTTAAATATTTGAATCCTAAGTGGCAGTTTCTTTGACAATTGTTCCTGCCCTCCTAATTTTGATTTCAGTCCCATATTATCTCAGTGCCCTGCTACATTGTATTTGATTTTTGGAGGAAAACCACTATTGTTTTTCCCTATTAGTCTTTGTAAATCGGCATTTTTCAAAAAAAATGTATAAATTTATCTTTGTTTCAAATAAAGAAATACTTAGCATGAGTTAAGTTTTTTCTGTCCAGTACTACAGTCAAAATTTCACATAACATTTCATCGCATATAAGATAATAACCATCACTGGAAGTTAACCAATCAAAATGTCACCCCTTTGCTTCCTGTTTACAAGCTTTAGTAACCATGTCACCTCAAGTTTCCAAAATATTTTATAGAAACACCAAATAAAAAAAGAATGGTGCTTTGAATAACCCAAGGTATATGTCTATGACTCAGAAATTTGTTTCTGCAATGAAATGCAGGGTTAATTTCCTACAACTGTCAAATTCGAGAGACCTGGAACATCACTTGGTGTCCGTCATCCATTGTTGTCATCCGTTAACTTTTACAAAATTCTTCTCCGAAACTACTGGGCCAAATTTAACCAAACTTAGCCACAATCCTAATTGGGGTATTTAGTTTTAAAAATGTGTTCGATGACCCCGCCTTCCAACCAAGATGGCAGACATGGCTAAAAATAGAACATAGGGGTAAAATGCAAGTTTTGTCTTATTTTGAAAACCTTTATAAATTAAAGAAAATCTGACATGGGCAGAAATGTTCAGAATGTTGAGCTCTATCAATTGTCCTGTACGTCAAAACTGTCAGACTTCTTATAGGAGTTATTGGCCTTAAATGACAAATCTTACCATTTTTAATTTTTTTAAATTTTTGCCTTTTATCTTGAAAACTATAATAGATAGCGAGAAACTTTGAGTTGCAAAAATGATCAGTAGACAAGATCTACAAATAAGTAGACATGTTCAAAATCGTCAGTCAACTCCTTATTAGAGTTATTGCCCATTGATGACAATTTTTACCAATTTTTGGCGTTTTTGTCTTATAACTTGAAAATTAGAATACTGTAAAAGCAGAAATTTTCGTGGAGGATTTAATTTCGTTTATTTCATGGAAAGAATATATCCACGAAATTTAAACCCCAACGAAAGTTTATCCTACATATAATATCACTTCTATTTACTGGAAACCACGAAATTAAATCCCCATGAAATATTATATATAGACCAAACCACGAAATTTTAACCCCACGAAAATTAATGTTTCTACAGTAGATAGATAGATAGAAACTTAAATTAGCAAAAATGATCAGCAAGACAAGATCTACAGTCAAGACAACATGGAGGACTCTTTATTGGAGTTATTGCCCTTTAATGACGATTTTTACCATTTTTTTTGGCATTTTGTCCTATATGATAAAAATTATAATGGATAAAGAGAAACTTTAAATAACCAAAATGATCAGCAAGGCAAGATCTACAAACAATTCAAATTTTGCAGATATAGTTAGGAGACCGACACCCTTCATTTGAGTGATTGCCCTTAAATGAGGATTTGTTTACCTTCTTTTGTGCTTGGAGCAAAAACTAAAGAAGATAGAGAGAAACTAAACAGACAAAATGATGAGAGATACAAGATAAACAAAAAAGAGATTTTTGTCATGAATTCTATTCTTGTCAACAATGTTGTAGGGTGTCCTTTGTGGAATATGCACATAGGCCTAGGTGAGCGACACAGGCTCTTTAGAGCCTCTAGTATGTATGAAACTGGATGTGATGTACCATGTTTTGGTGGTATTACACCTTTTGTAATATTTACTATGAAAATGCATACATGTTACCATAAATAGATATGTGGTAATTTTAGGACAAGATACCATATCCACTGCAACAACATTTGCTGTGATGTTCTTAGGTCAGAATCCAGATAAAATGAAAAAGTAAGAGTCTTAACTTCTTGAGAGTTTAATATTCATTCATCAAATAAAAAGGATTAACCAGTGTGTGAAAAAAAAATCTTAACAAATCCAAACTTGAATCTGCCTGACATAGCCAACATCAATTAACTAATCAGTATTAACATAGAAATATATTGAGTGCAATGGTGCAGTAAGTTGCAGTGATCTGTCTGTTATAATTTCATCTACATATATCCAAATTTCAATGAAAATTATATAAGGTGCATCAAAACAATTATAGATATGTTTATATGCCAAAATATTAAACACACATAATACATATGGATGACTGATACATACTTTAATGCCCTGACTTAGTAAGTAGGGGTTGTTTTCAGGACTGTTCATCCATCTGTATCAGTTTAAAGGACGTGGTTAAGATTTTTTACCGTGAAGTAGTTGTCCTTATTAAACATGTTCGTATCGTGAACTTTGTATAATACATGCCAAATTAGGGTTTTTATCAAGATTTATGGTCCACTGAACATGAATATGAAAGTGTGTGCTGGGCATATTCCAGTTACTTGTTTAACAATAACTATATTTATTATGTGTATGATTGTAGCAGTGAGCTAGATGAGCACTACAGAGCTGCTTTTTGCTATGAGATCAGGCAAATTGTACAGTTAAGAATTAATGTCCAATGTGTATGTATGTTTATTATAGACTTGTTGATGATATTGATACTGTTGTTGGATCCAAAGCTAAGATAAATTATAATGATATTGGAAAGATGAACTATTTGGACATGGTATGGAAAGAAACTTTACGACTCTATCCACCAAGTATATCCACTGTAAGAGAGACAGAGAAGGATTTTGTCATTGATGGAATTAATATTCCATGTGGTACAGATATCAATGTAAGATATACACTTTCTTATGGGATAGGAAAAAAGGATGTAAGGATTGAAATCAACCCAAATATTAATATTTAACTTCAAATTTTATACATGTAGTTTATGATTGCCTCTTTGATACTGAGTAATATACAGCTTTTGACATCAAATTGGAGTCTCACTTCCAAAATATTGTTATGCATCAAAACCATGGTAATCTTTTCATGTAGATAGGTTTTATTTATTGGTATTATTGTAGTGCATTTAATTGAAGCTTTGACAATAGCTTTCTAAATAATAAGCAACATTTAGCAACCAATAATCAATCAAAAAACCTAATTAATTAAAACTGTATTTCAATTGTATCTTAGTTGAGTACATACATAAGTTCAAGACTTCCTGAATTTAATGACAGACCTTTAGAATTTCTACCTGAAAGATTTGAACCTGATTCACTAATAAAGTAAGTGTAGTTTTTTTGTTTGATTTCTTGAAACTTGCTGCATTGATGATTGATAGTAATCAAGCTTTTATTCATGAGCTCACAAAAATTTAGTTTTTGACGAGAACTGATCAAGACAAAAAACATTGAACTTTGTTTTTCTTCTGTTATGCAATTTATTTCTTTGTGAATTAACAAATAAATTTACACTGAATGAAAAAGATTGAGAATTAGCAAATTTTAAAATGCTGGCCATAACAATCTCAAAGTTGCCAACCTCTGACAATGAACAATTTAGTCATAGCTTGCCAAAAAGAATATAAAAATATGTGCCATTTTTAAAAATTTTTTTTTGCTTTGAAAATCATAATTTTTTTTGTACATTTAACTTGAAACTTTATATTTGACACAGCTGCCTGTTTAGCTAGTTTTAGAATATTGTGGCTTCATGCATATCCATGTCAATTACTGGGGTGACATACATTTGCGCGAATTTACCTGCAATTTACCTGAGTTTTTTCCTTGGATTTAAGCCAGAGAATAACCTGAATTTTATGTTTTTTGTTTTAGGAAAATGAGTTATGTTGTTGTTTGTTGTCTATCATATTTGATTTTTGGAAAATGACGCTATCAGCGGCATGTTTCCGATACCATTGACCAGAACTAACGGAAGTTGATTATGCCTCCGCCTACCGCACTCGGTTTCATATTTACTATTTTACATACTATTACTAACTGGAATCTGCTTGTATTACGCTACACTCGAACAAAGTGTTGTAGTCGGACGGGAACCAGTTTACATACGTTATTTTATTTACCATGCAAAAAGATATCTTGACCTGTCCATATGTTTTTTGTTATTAAATGGTATTTGGAGCTATCCCTTTGTTATATTTTTCATATTTATTCGAGCTTTCACTTTTATGCACATGTCTTACAATCGTAAACAATCGGTATGTATACATGATAAATAGATCCGTTTTGTTATGGTGTTGGACTTTTTACCCTCCAATGATCAGCAATCGCTAGACAAAATAGTTCTCCTAAATAATGTCAGCCTTTCATGCCATTTCAACTTTACAATCATTAAAAAAGTAATAATCGGAATCATTTTGATATCCATTGGATAGAAACTGATCTTTATCCAGATTTACGAAGATTTTAATAATCGGAAATTAGTAATACGGTTATACCCACGCGGTGCGTATGAATCTTTGTTTACAAAGTTATAGCAGCAGAGTCTGTAACTGTATCATTATTAATTAACTACACTGTTATTGTACTTAATATGATGAAAACTGCATATGCAATATAAGATGTCAACTCGGCCAAAACAGATTTTTTTTCCGTATTGGCCGAGTTCTGATCCGGCCAAAACAGGATTCCGGAACGTCTCTAGTTTTTAGATCGTAAGTCAGGATAAACTCAAACTGAAAGTAAACAGTTGTTTGTACGACGCAGCTTTTATTTACTCACCATAAACAAGCTGAAACGTTCAGTATGGCATATATTTTAGGTTAAAGACGGTCCCATTCATTTGAAAAGCATTTTGAAAGTAGACGATGGAATTATTTCAGATTTGGGGAACGAGTAAATTATCACAAAGTTCATTTCTTGACGACCTCATAATTTCATCATGTCGATGGTACAAATCGATTTTTACTGTTTACTTTCGCTTCTCATGTTTTGTAAACGGTCTTTTATTTTTAAACCCGAACCAGGCATATGCATTCTGTAATTGCGCAAATCTTCGTTCTTTGGTCAATTGGCTTATGGATAGTTGTATCAATTTCAACTCTTACATTATTTTTTTAAAAATATATTTGCATTACACATGCAATGGCAGTACCTTTCCAATTACTATTTATGTGTTGTGTCTAAATTAAAGTTGTAACACTTTATAGTGACTGGAAAGAGTAGAAAAATTCATCAGATGAGAACAGGCTGAAGATACATGGAAACGGCACCAAATCATTAGATATTGCATCTTATAAAAAGAAACTGAGATTTGGATAGTTCCACTTCAAGGTAAAAATGTTTATCTCTTGTGAAATGAAATAAAAAAATATTGTAACACTGTAGTTAATTAATAAAGATACTATTACATGTATTTCTGTATTGGCCTTATTGTTGGTCCTCGGCCAGCAGTACACCAAGACATGGACCAATAACAAGGACAATACAGAAATACTTACGCAATAATATTATAGAATGACAGTATGGTTCAATAGCGGGAATCAGCCCCTCAACTACTTTTTACATAAATATTAACTTCTGGCTTCAACTCCTTGTTCGTCTTGTCTGGAGATCTTGTTGTAGTTCCAGTTAGGCAAGCATTTTAGAGACGTATCCCGTCCATCCTCTCTTGACTTGTAATTTCTGGTGATAGATTTTGCCGCTTGACGTTGTATCCTTTCAAGCTTGTTTTTTTTTTGTTACCGTGTAGGGGTCCCATACTATGGCTCCATATTAAATTGTAAGATCCATTCCTAAAGGTCTAGATCATTGTTCTAATCTGACACAAATTTCAATAACTGGAATGCTACCCAAGTTGAATATATGGTGACCTACTAGAACAGCATTATCACTATTGAAATTGTGTTTAATACCATGATTGTTCAATGTCATTAACTTAAATGGAGACAGACATTTGACCCGAAAGGTGGTGTGGGAGTGCAAAATCAAAAACTATCTGACTATGATATATGGTTAAAGAATGAATATCAATTACATGGGTCAACATGGTCAAGGGCAGAGTTGTTATGAAATAACAATATGGCAGAGAAGTGGTTTCAAGTTTCATATAAAGCGACCTGACTGACATGAAATAAAAAATCAAAGGAGTATCCCTATTTGTCTAATCTTCAAGGTGAAATAAAACTAGTAAAACAATATTATACTATTGTCTAAATCTACAGAAATATTATTTGCTTCAAGTAACAGAAATAACTAGGTCACTAGTAACTTATTTAATGAGTACATGTATGTGGGGTATAAGAGCTTGATAACAACAGGCTCTTCATAATCATTTGGTTTGAAAAGGATACTAGTAGTCTATATTCTTGATTTAGAAAAATGTAATTGCAAGACAAAAATCACATTACTTAGAATACTTTAGATCATTCAGGTAGTCTTTATTTATATGTACAAAAGAACAGCCAGTAGTCATTGGATATTGTAGATCATTCAAATAGTCTTGACCTATTTATTAGTACAAAAAAACAGCCAGTAGTCATTGGATATTGTAGATCATTCTGGTAGTCTTGACCTATTTATTTATAGAAAAAAACAGCCAGTAGTCATTGGATACTGTAGATCATTCAGGTAGTCTTGACCTATACATTTGTACTAAAAAAACAGCCAGTTGTCATCTTCACATAACACACACATATACGAATATCAATTATATGCTTACGAGACATGTTGGAATGTTAAACTAATTAGGGTATGTGAAAATCAAGACTTGCATAAAAAATATCACAATATTAGAGACAGTGGCGTCATTTTTCCTCAGAGCTTTCAGCTCTTTGATTGTTTATTGTTTTAAACATAAATGGGCAATCATACCACATCTTCTTATTTCTTATATTAATAAATATATATTAAAGAAGTCTTTATTTGTTTATATAAACATTAAAAAGCACTAATTTTATGTAAAAGAATAGTTTTTCAATAAAATACAGTGAATATCCTGGAAAGGAACATTCAAAGTATACAGTCATGAATAAAACACAGTATACATGTATATGATATCTACAAGAACCATCAATAAATCAGTCCTTGTCTGGTACTTGTACCCTAGCTATTTTTAGATAATGTTGGCGGGAAATTTCTCCATTTTGAAACTTCAGAAATTGATGAACGGTGAACTGAATTTTGTCTTTGTCTTTGCGCTTTACAAGAGCTTGGTTATCACTACCACAAATTGTAATGTAAGTAGTCGCCTGAACTTACAGTATAATCTCAATGGAGTTGTAGATGCTGGATGAAATAAAATTCATTTTAATGGTTGTGAAAATACTCTGGCCCATTGTTGTTATGTTTTTTGGCTAAAACAATTTTTTTTTAAATAATTAAAAGTAAATTTGTTTATAAAAAGTCAAGGATTTCTTTTTATAATTTTTTTTAATTAATCCGCGCAAATGTAACAGGTAAATTTCGTGCAAAAGTAATGCATTTTGTCACTTAAACGTCATTTTTTTTTGCACAAACGTAACACGCTGAACTACTGTATTGCTTATATTCTTATGATAGCAATTGCTAAAAGAAATTAAGTTGTGCAACATAACTATTAACAAATGTTTTCAGTGTTGATCTGGCAGGAAAGATGAAATGAGCTTTTACTGATTGTGAACACAATAAGTTTCAAGTAATTTTGAGTTTCTGAATGTCTAATGTTATCACTTTGTAGGAAGTTCAAACTAAATGTAAACATGTGAGATATGGGACTTTTACCATATTTTGACTATTGTACCACAATTACACAGTGTGACACATTATTTAATTCCTCATTTATACAGTTTAGGGGATATTTTGCTAAGGCATAGCAATCTTATTTTATGTTCTATGATAAATGTCTTTCCAGAAATAATTCTGTGATAATTCTCAGGAAATACACTGTTTTATGAAAAAAAGATCTTTAGCAAAATAACAAACATCCAAACATTTTTTCCTAGACAATTTATATTTAGTCTTTCAAAGACTAGTTTGTGTGCCTAATAAAAAAAAATTCACAATAAATCAAAAGAAGATAAGGGGTTTACACACATGAGATTGCAATTAAAACCAAAATTAAACAACAAATAAAACCAGAAGATACTATCACACCTCTATCATCAAAACTATTATTTATAGAAAAAAAAACCGTAAGATATAAACATAGACAACTACTGACTTGGGTCTGGTACATTTTAACATGTCAGAGTTGAACTAGTATTTTGAGTACTCAACTTCTATCTTATTTTCTTGTCATTTATTGAGAATGATATTTTCTCATATTTGCCTTTAATTATACCCCAACTATTGGATTTCGGGTAAATAGTAATAACCATTTCACCATATGTTCATCAAAGATTTAGGTCACTTTAGTTTTGGTGCTTTTCTGTAATTTAGAGTGCTTTTTTTTCTCCTGTTGTTTCTAGATGAGAATACTATTTTTCAGGCCCAGTATCTATACCTACTACCCATTTACACTTGGACCTAGGATCTGTTTAGGACAACAGTTTGCTAAGGTGAGTTTAATGTTTTCTTATGTATTTAAATGTCACACTAAAGCAATAATGGTGTGAATATGTTGAATAAAACTTTTCCAGACAATAAAAGACCTCAACAATCCAAATTTTGCATACAGATACCTTAATGCCTTATACTCTTAAGCTGACCAAGAAACACCTTACAAAATCTTTATTATGCATTTAATACTACAGTGGATCAGAATCTCGGAATGCAGAATACCAACAGTATATTTTTAAACATAATGGTATTACAATCAGATAATTTTCTCAGTTTTTGATTAAATTCAGAAGTTCTAGTAATGTTTTAATTTTTTTAAAGAAAAATATTACCTATTTTAATTAGTACTTTAATTTTGAATCCCCTTACATTATTTGTATACAGAATTTCCTGAAATTGCATTAATAATTCTTTACTTCCTCCCCAACCGGGGCTTAAACCTGTATTTTTACTTCTCACTTCTATGGCAACACCACCTAGCATTGCTCTAACTATAGCTGATAAAAATCAGCTTTCTTTTCTAGAGTTGTGACCTTCTCATATGTATTAAACTTTATATATATGAAAGATGCCACCAATCCTTGTCCACTGACATTGACCCCATTTTTCATAGTTTAGTGGTTGCATCAGAAATTTATTTTGGTTATGATGATATTTTATGATTTGATTATTTATTTTGTAGATTGAAGGGAAACTTATATTGGCAAAGTTGTTTCAAAATTTTGAAGTGAGACTTGAACCTGGACAGCAATTACATGTTGTTCTGGAATCTACCCTAAAATTGAAAGATGGATTGAAATGTTACATAGTACCACGGCTAAAGGACAATAAAAAATGACAAGTAACTACGACAGATTAATTTACATAAACTACAAATGTTAATTCTTAAGTTAAAGTGTTTCAATGTTAACAAAATAGTCCATTGAAGTTACATTTGTAAACAGAGAAGATGATACAATAGGGCAGCTTTTAAATTGATGAAAATATCAAATAACATCTTTTATTATGTTCACAAGATATAAGTTTCTATAGATTCTGATTTTTCATATATATATTTATATATAACTAAGGTTATAAAAAGTAATCACAATATGAAGCGTTTTTGGTTAGAGTGCATTGGATGATTCATATTATGTCAATTGGCTGATATTTTGACTGTTTAATAATAATCTATTTTATTCTCGAATGTTTTCTTCATTCAAAACAATGTTAATTAAAAGAGTTTTAAGCTTACTTGGTAATTTCAAGTAAAAAATTATGAAATCTTTCATATCTTCAAGGTTAAGGATTTTGATCATGATTAATTCTATGAAAGAAAAAGTTTATTTAAAATAGCAAATTTTGTTAAAATAATACTATAATGACATGTTTATGATGTTGCAGTCATCTCAAAGTATTGTCCTTTAAAAAAGTGTTTATCAAAAATGGGAAGGTTCAATAACTTTTTTCTGTAGTCATACAAAAAAAGATAACATTCCTAAAAAAAAATAAAAAAATTTCTAATTAGAACTGAATTAGCCATGATTCTAGCTTACAAATCAGCAATACACACTAAATAATTTATTAATGCCTTTCATCCTTCAACCCAATCTTCTTCACTGTTGCCTTATCCCAAAATAGCAGAATTATAACAGTTTTCTTACAAACTATGAATCAGAGCATCCTGCCTTGCAGAACCTTTCTATTGTAGTAATTGTTAATGTTAATTTGTTCACTTCTTAAACATACATGAAACATTTGCCACTGAAGGTAAACAACAATCAATCAATCAATCATATAAGTTTGCTTTACGTGTGATGCATTTTCATATGTGCCTTCAATGATAATATTAAAATGTAAATATTATACTTTTAATTTTTGTCTCGCCTGCAACGAAAGTTGCTGAAGCGAGACATAGGTGTTTCTTTTCCAACAGCGGCATCGTCGTCGTTGATAGCTTCAACAATTGTTAAGTTTTCTGCTTAAGTCAGTTTGATAGGAACTACTTGTGATAGAACAATGATATTTTCTACAAAGTTGCATTACTATCAGTACATATCAGTTTGACAACTATTTCCAGGCCCTGCCCCCTAGGTCATGGGCCAGAGACTTTGAATTGATAAGCAATTGTTAAGTTTTCTGCTTAAGTTAGTTTGATAGGAACTGCTTGTGATAGATAAATGATATTTTCTATAAAGTTGCATTACTATCAGTACATCTCAGTTTGTTGACCATTTCGAGGCCCTGTCCCATAGTTCATAGATCCATCCACACATTAGATTAGAATCATGTCCACTGCATTGTAAATGTCAATCTTCTACATTATCCCACAATTTGTTCTTAAAAACTAAGTAGCTCAAATAATACCTAATGCCTCTCAGTTTGGCAATCATTTTGATGCGCTGCCCTCTATGTCATGGTCCAGCAACTTTGAATTAATTAGCAATGTCCATCAGATTATTTTTTTCTGAATTTTCTGCCAACAGACAAGACATATCTCTGTGTCAATAGTTTATTTATGTACATGTATATGATATAAACAACTTTTCAAAAGGTAGTAGATAAATATATTCATTTATCTACACTTTTACTTGTTTTACTAAGGTTAGTTATAATAAACTTTTTACATGGATATTAAAATTTTTGAGTTATTGCAGATATATTTTGTAAATTTTAATCACCTTTATAAAATATTGTAATATGAACATGTTTTTTTTTTATTTATATTATATTTATTTTATATATATATCTGTGCATCATATACAGTGTATGTTTTAGGTTGTTTTTTTTACTTTCAATAAATACAAAAAAAACATTGAGTCGTGAAAATTTAATTTGTCACTGCTTTTATTCAAGTTATTAATACAATACTGCAACTCAGTTTAATCTCACCGTCCCATTGAAAAATATTTTTCTTCTTTTTTACCTTAATACATTGAACATAGTTAAAATGTTCACACAAACAACATTATGCAACATACTAGTCGATAATAAAAAAGTATATGTTGGATATTTGGGTATAACTCCTGTAGTGTTTCCTGTGTTAGATGACTTTATACATTCAGTATAAGTCTTATAGGTATAATATTTCTTTTGTATAATAGAAACAATTGAGAAATCAAAATCATTACAGAAGTTTTTTTCCGTCATTTTTAAAAAAACATTAGTTTACCTACTTCAAGTATAATTTTAAGATATATGACTTCAGTCAAAATAAATTTCCAATACCACACCACAATCTGTCTATTGAAATGAAATTAAGCTGGAAAGAAACTTACATTCTATTAAGTAACAATACACCACAACATACTTAGATGAAAGACAATTAGTCGTACTATAAACTTCAAACAACAATGCACCACTGTGAAGATTGACCCAGTTATATTATAATGAAAAGCCAACAAGAACCCTAAACAAATCACCACAATGAAGCTAAACAAAATAAAATTACACAGAAATCATATAAATCTATAACAATAATGCAACATAATAGATAAAAAAATATTCTCACACACAATCAACCTATGAAAGTAAACATATTTATTTACTGTTTATTGTTTATAACAAATTACTATACTCTATCATGTCTATGGACAGACATAGGGTGCATCCATTATGATATTCCACTGATATAGGTTGGGTGAAACAAATGTTAAATTCTAAAGAAAGTATTACATCAAAAACTGGCATTAACAAAGTCAGTGCAACTAAAAATTTGAGAATAAGTAGTTTCTGCTCCATGCTCACATTCATCAATTAATTAACTGAAAGAGAATTTAGTCACAAAGTGAAGAAAGAGCTATGACTTACCGGTAATGACAAATGGAACTCATTGTATCATTTTTGTGTGTATTTTTAATGGACACATTATATATTCTTCTTTTGTGTACATCATTCTATATTTCTTCTGTTCCAATATAAAGAAAAATGATTTATTAGAATAGTAAAAAAAAAATATTATTTCAAATTAAGAATTTTCTTTATTTTTAAAGCAAATAAGTAAGTTTGTGTTAGACATTTATGTTTACATTCAATATAAACATTGGAGATAGCTTTATGTTTGATTGTTGAATATAAATGAAAAGTCATCATATTTGATTGTTAATCCAAATATACAGGAAGCTATTTTGTGTGTACACCTTAAGGAGTAGGTCTGATAACGCCCCATTACGGCACCTATTTCTAGCTAAAATTTCAAATAAAGATTAATTGACCATTATCATAATGAATTATAGCTAAAACAATGACTAGATTGGAAACAAGTCTCTTTGATGAAAATATACAAATCAGGGTTCTTATTGTGATGTCGACAATAGAACAAATTTTGATTTTCCTTGAAATTCAGTGACAACATTGGTTTTAAGAACGTAAATATACACAGTTGACTATTTTTCCTTGGCCTAAATGTGGTTTGTAATCCAGAAGATTTTGTCAACTTTCACCAATACTTTGATTTTTGGCATATTTAGGGTGTACATGTCAACCCTTTATAAAAAAAGCTCGACAAGAATAAGTTATTTTCACTTTCTTGCATATCTGTTCATCAACTTCATCAACTAGAAACACTTTTCATCTTGAAACAATTGACTAATATTCGGGGCCAACAAAGGCCTTAAACAAACTTACTCCTTTGTGAAGCTTTTTGGTAAAACGATTACTTCCTTTGAAAAAGACTTTATTTTCCTTATAGTAATCAACATAACAATTTTGCCTATCAATAATTAATTATTAATTGATTTATTGTTTAATTACTTTTTGATCCAGGTATTTACCTGACTATGTTAGGTAACAGTAATTAGTTTAGTATACAGGTGTAAAGTCAGAGAAATCACCAATAAAACTATTTATTATTTATGATATCTTCCCAATCTTTCCAACAAGAAAAAATTATTTGCCAAGAAAAGTCGTAGAAAGAAGAAAGATTGTGTTTTATCCATTTGATTGGTAAGATCTTATTCAGTTTTATATTTAATAATTTTCATAGGCATGATCATGATTTTAAGCTTATTTGATTTTACTTCTTAATAATATGTATTTTTTTGATCTATGTAAAAGTAACCACTATGTCTTAAACTAAAAATTTTGACTTGTAGAAAACAGTTTGAATTGTTCAATAGTTTTAAGATCACATCAGTCATGTGAAAGAAAAAAAAATGTTTGATTGTGCTTGGCATGTGACCTAAGAAAGTTATTAAGTGTACAGTTATCTTATATTCCTATTAGATTTTTATTTAAGCTGACTTTTTCAGATACTAATGCATTGTTTCTTAGACTAGTGTAAAATGGAAATTGAATTAGAAAGGACATCATCAAGTTTTACTGCCAAACAAAACAGAATAATGTGTAAAGTGACACTCTTCATCATCTATTTATTTTCATTCACGATCAAATTCAGTTATGGTCAAAAACATTTCCCACCATTAACAAACATAGCTCAGGATCGACCATCTGTGACTTATCCATCTGACAGTACTTGTGGAATTCCTACAAGAAATGCATATTGTATCAGTTCCATTTATAAAGCTTCAATAGACCAATGTGTACAGGATTTTTGTGTTCAGTCATGTCCAAATAGAACATCATTACCATTACATACAGATTTACTGATAGGAGTTAGTCTGGGATATAGAGAGTGTGTCATCACAGATAAATTTAACAAGAAGCCAGAGAGTTCAATAGGAGAATTTTCTACATACTTTATGAAACTTGGTCCAGTTTGTTATATAACTCCGTCTGTTACCCCTCCTATTTATGGTGAAGGAGCTGTAACATTTACTGTATGGATCTGGCGTGAAGAAGACAATTATGGGTAAGTTTTATTATTAAAGTTTCTTTAGGAAGTGTACGGTGTATTACAGCAGATGAGGTTACTATAGAAGTCCTGCACTATCTTGGATCACAAAATAAATCAATTGAGTAGTCAAGAGTTTTACTGAAACTAGCATATTATGTTGTAGAAATTCAATATAGTTATATGAAGGACTTTTGATTTTTAAAAGTCTTACTATTTTGTCTTATTTTAGTAACTAAGAGAATGTACATTGAAATTATCTATTTTGTTATTTTGTCAGAAAATGAGCTCTTGGACCCCTTGTTTTTTTTTCAGTTTCTGAAGGTGCTCCATAAAAGCTAACTGAATCAAATATTTATTTAGCACATGGGAGCTTTTGCCATCATTTGACTTCCATTGTTCATCCATCAGTGAATTTAGTAGAAATAACTAAGTGCTAAACTAGCTCTTAAATCAATTGGAATTTAAATATTTTCAAATTACAAAACTGAATGATTAATCAATTTAGTTCAACGAAATTTTTTTAAAAGTATTTCCTTTGTTAAGACAGCCCTGATGGTAGGAAATTTGGTAAAATGACCAAATTACAAGTACACAAAATTTTTACTGTTTGGTGCATATCAAGCAGAGAACTAGTAAAGAACACTAAAGCCTTGTCCAAAAAGATTTTGTCATGCAAAAGTTTTCTGAAAATGACTTATTTATAAAAATCAGTGTTTAGTTTGCAAAAATGTTTCTCAAAAACTGGAAAATCTCCACGAATGATGTTACAGTCAAAGCTGTTCTAAATTCTAGCCTCCGCTGTTTTTAAAATATTAGTAAATTCTTTTCACAGAAATGATTTAATATTACATGATTTATTCATTTTAAAAGATTGTGAATATTCTCTCAGGTGCAATAATATCCTGGAAATCATACAAATTAAAACATCAGTGAATTTAAGGGTTACATCAGCCCTAAAACGTACCTTCTAACAAGGAATTTTAATGAAATATGGGAAAAAAACTTTTCATGGCTTATTGACTAGAAGATCAGTCAAATGTTTAGGCCCCCGCCATCAGCAGAGGGGGCATTAAGTGTTACCTTGTCTGTACATACATCCGTCCGTCCGTCCATATGTACGTCCCAAAATTGAGTTTCCGCTCTCTAACTTTAGTTTGCCTCAACCAAATGTTATGAAACTTATACACAATGCTTATTACCACAAAATACAGATCACTTTTACTGTTATCGAGTTATGCCCCTTTATAACATTATATGCAAGCGGGGGCATGATCTGTGTCCCATAGACACATTCTCCATTTATTTAATTAAATATCTGTCAATCAGAACTATCCTTCCTGGATTGCACAAATTGATAGAACATTTTATTTTTACAAATATAAATGTATAATGCAATTTCTAAGAAGGTGTCTATTTCAAAACTGTATCCTTGGCATTATCTACCAAGGTACTCTGTAACTTGACTTGTAATATAAAGTAAAAGCAATTAAAAAAGTAGAAGAAATAAACAATCTATGAAAATAAGACAGATGACTATCAGGTAGAACAGATTTGTAATCAGTGAGTCAGTATTACCCTAGAGTAAAACCTGGCCCTATACTTTTTGAATAATTAATGAATTATTGTACCAGTTCTGGCTTAATCAATACACTTGCATGCAAACAAGCTCTGTTTCATGTCAGAACTACTGAAACCAAAAGGATTTTTTACCTTCTGTTGTAAACTTTTCATGAAATAGTTGAAGTAATTGTTCAACATCTCATTATGATTAAAGGACAATTAGGTGAAGTAGTGGTCCCATTTTACATTAGGATTGTAAGCCCAAAAAATAGTCAGAAATCATTATTTTGTTCATTTTTTAATCACAACTTTGAGGTGCAGTTGATTTGACATAGTAAGTTATGTCTTGATGTATCCTGCTCTTTGGATTTAATGATTATTATAGGAGGTATGACCTATAATGTTTTTATGCCTTTATATGTTTTGTACATAATATTACCTTGTTACTGCAACTCTTATAAATTAACTGTCATATTGCTCTGTCCTTGGCCCTTTAACACTTTGTATGACTACATACAGAGGATTATACTCCCTACAAACAAAGTCAATCTGTCCATTTATCTGTCTGTCTGTCTAAGTGCCTCCCTAAACAAGTATTGATAAAACTTTACACAGTTATAGAACACTACTTGAAACTGCTTTCAGGAATATTATCCTGGTCCAACATTTTCAAGGGTAGATAATTGAATTTACTGACTTAGTCTTCTAATAGTGTTACAGGGCAGTGGGTTTCATTTTGTGAGTTCACTCGCAGTTTAGTTATACTTTGTGATGCAACTCATGCAAGAGCTTCCAAGATCATTAGATCATGATGATGGATGGCTACTTAACGTTCATCGGCAAACTAATATGCATATTTAGGACGAGAACATGCATGTTAATGTAATATGAATATTAACCCTGCTTTGTACTAGACCAAAATGCTGAGCTGGATTTTTAACATGCTAGTTCACAAGGTAACAGTCCGCAGGTAGACATGTCACCTTACCCGGACACATTATTCTGACTCTGAGCGGATCATTCTTTGCTCTTACTCCTTATTACCGCATGCTAAGCAGAAAAGCAGCAAATACCAATTTTAAAGTCTTTGGTTTGAACCGTCTGGGGTTTGAACCCACGACCTCCCGCATTCAAGGTGAACAAGCTACCACAAGATCAACGTGGCGGTTCTAAGATGATTAGTGTTTGTTTGTTAGACAGAAATGCAACAAACAAAAAACATTTAGAGGTTATATGTTTTACTACATAAGACGAGTCATGATGTGTTTTTGATCAAATAATTCTAAAATTGGTTTCTACAATTGTTTCAGTGTATATTAATGCCCTTCAACACTTCTTGCATTTTTTTAAGGTGTAGCTTCTTTAAATTGTTGGTGGTTTAAAAGGAAACATTTGCTTTTGAAGTAATTTTTCATGACTATGAACTCAAATACATAGAATGTGTACATGAGATGGTTCTGAAAATTTAAGTTTTTAACTTTATAATGTCAGAGTTGCCTCTGATAACATATTTTTAAAAGAAAATGAATCAAAAACACACAATGAAAATTATAGAATATATGAATCTCCTTTATGGTTTAAAAGCATGCTTATTTTGCCAAAATTGTACTCTTCAAACCGTCTTTCCTTAGGATTAAAAATATGATTCCTTACAATACAGAATGAAGAATAAATTTGCAACAGATAAAAAGATTTTTTTATCAACATTGCTTGGATCATGAAAGGATTCATTTTCAGAGTTGATGATAATCCATTTTTAGTTAGATTTTCTTAATTGTTAATCCAGATTTTTCCATTCCTTTGTTAACATGTATATAGTAATTGGCTTTTGATATGATCTTTTGCATTTTATTTTTGTTGAACAAAATCATTTTTTCAGTTTTTAATGATTTATTGATATTGAAGACAGTATTTATAATAATTCTTTTAAATAATTTATTTTGGTTATTTGTATTTTGACAGAACATTGGTACAGAAACAGTCTACCAACACTAGTGCTGTAGTTTATCATATACAGATAGTTTCAGTAGGAGTGGTTTTTACGTACCAGACTGCTATTGGAATAGAAACTATAACTTTACCTGAGGTTATACCCGCCAAAACATGGACTCATATTGCAATACAGGTTAGGTTTATTAACTCATAATATTTCTAACAGATTTAGTTTTCTAATGTACAGTCAATCAACAGTTTTTCTAGTTTGTAAATGGAAATTATTAACTTTGATTAATATAAGAAGTTATCAGGTGAAATTTGTTCATCATTCCACCTCTCTCTTGATAATATCACAAAATTGTTAAAAGTTGGAATTCGTTTAGGAGAACCATATTTCCATAACAAGGTCATAGAAGATAGTACTTTGTAATATTGGTATACATATATCCTTGATAGCATGTGATGATTTCATCCTTGTTGATGTAGTGTACCTTTTTAAAGAAAATTATTATAAATATGAAAAACTCTTTGACATGATTTATATTTAGGCCTACAAGACCATTGTGAGTTTTTACATTAATGGTGTTGGCCCTGGTTATTCAGCTACTTACACTACTGAAGTGACTGGTCCCTTACTTGATGAAACTGGTACCTTGAGGGTAGGACAGGATCATTCAGGAAATGGACAGTTCTTAGGACGAATTCAAGATTTCTTTGTTTATTCTACCACTTTGTCTAATAGGTAAGAAACTTCTGATAGAACTATGAAGAAGGTATGATTTTGGGCCATAATAGCACTAAATTAATTATATTTCAATAATTTTTATCTTCTTTATTTTAATAAGATAATAATAGCACTAAATTAATTATATTTCAATAATTTTTACCTTCTTTATTTTAATAAAATATTGCTATATTGTGAGAAAAATATCCTTTTCATATAGTATACAGCAATGCAATGACAGTCAGAAATCACTAAAATGTTAATATTGCACAAAGTCTTAATGTTTGACACAAACATATCTAAAAATGGTAAATATGACAATCCACACCCAAAAACTAGAAGTGTAGTTTGTGTTTTTTACTTGTTTACAAGCAAATGCTGGCCAGTACTTTTGGTGTTGTTTCCTAATAATGGGCAATGATGAAATAACTGTATTGATGTCATATTATGTGTCCTCCCATCTTAACTACTGGTATTATTTTCTTTTCTTAAAGCCATTTTTCTGAAAATTTTCAGAGTCATTTGTTGAACAACAAACTATTAAAAATGATATTTTGAAATGATGTAAACTATAATAATATTCAGGATAATCTTTCGTATTTGTTTAAAAACACAAATCTATTGAGGGAGAATGTTATTTTCAATTAGTATTAAACTAAACAACTGTTTCATAATTATCTATATTAAAAGTTGATAAAAAAATTATATTTTTTTAGGGAAATACAAGAAATTTACACAGGATTTTTACCTCATTTGAGAGTTCAGACAAATTGTCGTTGTCCAGTCACACATCCAAGAGTGAGACCAGATAAGACACATTACTGTATTCCTAATAATGTTATTGACAATAGCGGTGATGTAATTTTACGGCTGAACGATGAGGCACATTTCCTGGAGTATATAAATGACGGAGACAGTAATAGTGTATGGTTATCAAAGTTCCAGAATAAAGTAGAAATATCCATAGATCTAGGAGATATCTTTCAGGTACCGTGTTTTATAATTTTCATTTTTATTCTCTTTTTGTTAGCTTTTTTCTCTTATTATTAACTAAATGCAAAATACGTGCATGGATTAATTTTTACTTTCTACTGCTGACCAAAACAAATCGAGACTGTAGAATTTCTTTATTGTTAGAGTTTTTATTTTATGATGTGTTTACATTGCAGGTATTCTATGTAGTGCTCCAGTTTTATAGTCCCTTCTCTAAAGCTGTTGCTATAGAAAGGAAACATAATTATTCGTCAGACTGGACCACATGGCAAAATTATGCCGATGACTGTCAACATTACTTTAGTCAACCAAACAATGGACCTCTGCTCACATCTTCATCAGTAAACTGCTTACAGTTTGTTCAGTAAGTTGATAACTCATTTTATATTTCAAAAGCTGTGGCAAAAATACCAGATATCCAATACTAGAAGAAGTATGCAAGCTTTTCTATAGGTTAAGGCAATGACACTCTCCCAAGATAAGGCAGAGCTTAAGTTATATTTTAGTTTGTTCTTTGTATAGCTATGGAAATAAGATATGGAATCATTGGTAGAAATATTATCTTTTCACAGCTAAGTGCAAAATAATGATAAACATGTTCCAATAAGTCATTAGTTAAACTGCAGAGTAACATTCTACTCAGAAAAATGTAATTACTTTTTATAAACATACTAATATAAAGGCCACAATAATTCAATAATGTGGTAAAATACAAACTATTATCTCAACCAAGAATGCATTAGACATTTTTTGGCCATGGAATTAGTTACTAATTATAAAAAGTTCAGTGACCACAATTTTGAGTATAATAACATTGTGATGGCCCTCACAATATAAATGGTTGCATACTTCTTGTTCATCGTTCGTGACCGAGAGTTGAAATCATTCCTCAGCAAAGGACCTAAATATCGTCCCCCGTCAATTATTAATTGGAACGAGTGTCGTAACATCATCCACGACTCACTCCGTACTTACTGTTCGAAATGGATAAAACGAGAAAAACCTGACAAGAAATCCTTAGATTCTTTTTTTAATTCAGTAATGAACATAGTTGATATACATATACAACATTTTAAAGAACATTTTACTCCTAAAAACAACCATAATAACCCTATTTCTCGTATCAAGAACTCACCAAGGAATTTGTTTTTGTCCCGACTGATAAGGCTGCTAATAATATCAATATTGTTTGACGTAAATTTTTCATTGAGGTTCTGCAAAAGGAAATCACGAATTCACCAACATTCCAACTGACTCCATTTTCAGAAAATGACATCTGTAACAAACATAAACTAGTAGCTACTTCTTTACAAGCAGAACCAAAAAAAGTTCCAACCATGTACTGGCTTCTGAAGCTGCACAAAACACCTTACAAATATAGATTTATTTCGTCTTCAAGCCATTGTTCCACTACTAAACTGTCTATTCTACTTATTAGTACACTTGGTACAATCAAAAACCTGGTAGTAAATTGTTCATATAAGGCCTTTGAAAATAGTGGAATTAATTACTTTTGGAGTGTCAAAAATTTGTTGGAAGTACTTGATAAATTGCATGCTTATATTGGTGATTTCGAATCTATTTAAAGTTTTGATTTTTCTACCCTATATACCACTTTGCCTCATAATCTTATTAAGAAAAAATTCACACACCTAATTAAACGGGCATTATAAAAGTCAGAATGCGAATATATATGTTCAAACTCTTTTAGGTCATTTTTTAGTAACAACAAACAAAAGAACTATGTCAATTGGACCTGCTTTGATACTATAACTGCCCTTTAATTTTTACTAGATAACATTTTTGTTCGCTATGGAGATTCCGTATATCATCAAGTTATCGGAATTCCAATGGGGACTAACTGTGCACCACTTATTGCAGTCCTGTTTCTATATTGTTATGAATTACAATTTATGACTAAAATCAGCAAAGACCCATCGAAACAACATCAGATACAAAAATTTAATACACTTTTAGATATTTGGATGATATATTGGCTCTCAATAATGACGACTTCAGTATGTAAACTAAAGAGATTTATCCGGCTGAACTGACTTTGAATAAAGCTAATACTAACAATGAACACTGCCCTTTCCTGGATCTTGATATCTATATTTTTAACGGGAAGCTTAATACCAAAATTTATGATAAAAGAGATGATTTTTCATTTCATATTGTTAATTATCCATTTTTAGATGGTGACATTCCCTTGTCACCATCTTATGGTGTTTATATATCTCAACTTGTTCGATTCGCTCGTGTATGTAACAACGTATTTGATTTTAACGAAAGAAATCTCTGTATTACTGAAAAATTATTACACCAGGGTTTTCGATATCACAAACTTCTCAAAACATTTACTAAATTTTATTATCGGTACAAGGACATCATTCGTAATTATAATTCAACATGCAAACATCTTATACGTTCAGGTATTTCACATCCAATATTTTATGGTAATATTCTTTACAAAGCACAAAAATGTTGGCATTCACCTCAAAAGCTAACCAAACCTTTAAACAGACTTATTCAGAAGGGATATAGCTACGATACTGTTGTCAGGTCATTAAAGATGGCATATTTTGGTATTAATATTGATTCACTCATAGGGTCTTTGCATCGGAAATAAACACATTTATTCTAAAACCAGTTGTTGGCATGAAACGGGTTATGTTCTTCTCACATATTTTATGATGGTATGATACTAAACCCCTAATGGGAGGGATTGTGCTTGATTTTCATATGATGAAGACATAATCTTTCAATCAGTTTAATTGAGGTCTGGAGCTGGCATGTCAGTAACTGCTAGTAGTCCTTTGTTAATTTATGTATCAGTGTCATTTTGCTTAGTTTCTTTTGTTACCTATTCTGACATCGGACTCAGTCTTCTTTTAAACTGAGTTTTACTGTGCGTATTGCTGTGTGTTTGTTTTTTCTACATTGGCTAGAGGTATAGGGGGAGGGTTGAGATCTCACTAAACATGGTTAACCCCGCCGCATTTTTGCGCCTGTCCCTAGTCAGGAGACTCTGGCCTTTGTTAGTCTTGTATGATTTTTAATTTTAGTTCATTTATATGTTTTGGAGTTTAGTATGACGTCCATTTTCACTGAACTAGTACACATTTTTGTTTAGGGGCCAGCTGAAGCCCGCCTCCAGGTGCAGGATTTACTCGCTGTGTTGAAGACCCATTGGTGGCCCTCGGCTGTTTTCTGCTCTTTGGTCGGGTTGTTGTCTCTTTGACACATTCCCCATTTCCATTTTCAATTTTATTCTCCAAGTATAGGACTTCTAAATATACATATACTAAGAAAGATCACACAAATTTTATACAACCAAACAGAAGAACTCTTAGACAATTACTGTTATTACAATGTATGTGTCTACAAAGTTAAGGTTACTTTGAAAAATGCAAATACATGCCAGTTTTTTCCATTAGTTTTATATTCATATTGCTCACAGTAGATATGTATCAACTTATTGCAGTGAAGACTACTAGAAAAAATGAGAAATCAACAGTAAAAATTGTCTAGTGTTTTTAACTATTTCATTTGAAAAACTATATGTTACAAACTTGAATTATTTCTTATTATAAAATTGAGAATGGAAATGAGGAATGTGTCAAAGAGACAACGACCCGACCATAGAGCGGACAACAGCCGAAGGCCACCAATGGGTCTTCAATGCAGCGAGAAACTGCATTATGTATACTTTAAATTAACTTTAATTTCTTTCCAATGACTCCATGGTCTGTTTGTTGTTTTTTTTTTTAACAATAAACCAATGTTTGCTGTCTCCTTGAATTATTTACCATCCCAACTTTTAAATCTTATTTATTGTGTCACTGCTTCAATAAATGTCAGTCAGAGATGTTCCAAAGAATTAAAAGAGTTGTCATTGATATTAATTCACTTTGGTTACGTTCTTCAAAAGTATCAATTATAATGAAATAGTTCAGTTGTATAGCATATTGGATTTAGTTGATCAGCAGAAAACATCAAAGTTCTTGTCAATTAGAATTGAGATTCACACACCTGTATTGTTTAAGTTTACTTTAATTAACTTACACAATATAACAGATAAAACTAAATTGTATCTTACAGAGACCATATACCATATTCTGGAGGACAGATAACATTCAAGATACTATCTCCAGAGCCTGTTACTAGACCAGCTTATAACCAGTTCTATGAGACACCAGAACTCCAAGACTTTGTCAAGGCTTCAATCATAAAGATAACTCTAGAAGATCATTATCATTCCAATCACTTCAGACATGAATATTTTGGCATGTCAGAAATCACTGTCAGTGGCAGGTATGAAGAATGGGGTTGAAAGTGTATAAAGATCTTTCATGTAAAGTAACGGACTGAAAATACACAATATTATTTATGTATAAGTAAACAGAAACATTTTATACTTTAAAAATCTTTTTCTTTTCATTTACTGTTATTAAAGTCAGTAAAATGGCATCATTTACTATCTGGAAATCTCAAATGCATGTAAAAGTCACTTTTTTGCTTACCATTGAATATTTTATCAAACATCTGGTGGTATTCATTTATATTTCTCTCTGTTTCATTTCAAGAGTATTTGTGTATAACATGTATATTTTTAAGGTAAAATATGCAAGATCTATACATCATTGCAATCACAAAGATGGACGTTAGAAGTAGTCATCAATTGTGGTGATTGTTATAATTTTACACTTCATTACAATGACATATTAATTCTACAGGTGTGACTGCAACGGACATGCAAATGATTGTGACACCAGTGGGATGCCATACACATGTAATTGTACTATTGATAGTCATACAGAAGGAAGCAAGGTAAATATTAATTGTGACACAAGAAGCTTGCCATAAAAAAAGTTACTGTCTTGCTTATTGTCATGCAGAGATATACTGTAACTCCAACAACATGTCATACAAAAAATACCATCCTGCTTATAGTCTTACTTTAAGAAATAAGTAAATATTTATTGTAACACCTGTAGCATGCCATAAAAGTAAAACATCTGTACTGACAACTGCTGATAGTCTCTTAGGGAGCAATATCTGATAATTATTAAATGCAATTATTGGAATACCTTGCAAAAAAGAACAAGAGGTTTATAATTAGAACTGATTGATTCTGTTTGATTGAAATATTATATATGGGGTAAACAAATATATTTAATGTCGTAAAGGTCAGCAATATTTTATCTTTGCAGTGTGAAAGATGTCATCCTTTATACAATAATAAAGGATACAAATTGGGCGACCAGATCAATAGTTTTAACTGTAAACCATGTGAATGTCATGGTCATGCTGATGTCTGTGTATATGATGTTGACCTTGACCTTTTCCCTGACAACCATGACCTTGGTGGAGGTGGTGTGTGTCAGAATTGTAAGCACAACACCACAGGACAGTTCTGTGACATTTGTGTGACCTACTTCTTTAGACCTGTGGGAAAGAGTAAATATGACAAAGATGTCTGCTCTCAATGTGACTGTTTGGTGGCTGGAGTGAATAATGTGAATCTGGACTGTAAAAAGGTTTGCCTTTAAAACATAATTGGTTTATTTGATTAAAATGATAATGTGTCATTCAACTACTATCTCATCTAAGGGCCATAGTCATGAGATGACATGAAGCCAAGAAACTTTACTCCAGTTGAAAGACCATTGATAATCTGTCTATCCCTATTTTACAAGGCAACACCAATAATTCTCATTTGAGTAACTTGATATGGAAAATTATAACATAAAAAATCAATGCACAATTTAAAAAAATAGTGATAATATTTACTATTTACCTTGCAGATTTTTTAGTTGAAAAGTTGACATATGGGTCAACATCTTTAATTGTTTTTCCATAGGCGGTAATGGTAACAATTTTTCCTGTAGCTCAGTCCATATCGTAAACTTGGATATGTATGATAGCTCGTTTCGAAGCTGTGACATTTTCACATATGTGGTTAAATTTTCGGGGTACGAAGTGAGATTATACTTTTTTCGTAAATTAGCATACCCCGAACATCCTTTCGTGATGCGGCTCCTCGTAGTAAAAAATCCCTTTTTTAACGCAATAAGTTCTTTGAACACATTTAATAGCTCCATAGTTTATACACATTTATTCTATGTTCCTCTACTTTCATAATCACCACAAATGGTTAAGCTCAGCCATTTGTAAAAAATAGAAACATGTCCAATATCACTACACAGAGATTTTTTGTTTACACACAACTTTTGAGTTCCTCATTTCGAGGCGCATTAGGGATATTGACCCATATGTTTTACTGAATATTCTATTATTTCCAATGATAAGAAAAGGTTTCTCATATCTTTTATAGACAACTTACATTTCTTCATGTAAATTGAAAAAAAAATAATATAAAATTTTGAAAATAAGGCTATAGATATAAGAAGATGTGGTATGAGTGCCAATGAGACAACTCTCCATCCAGGTCAAAATTTATATAGAAAATGAAAGGATATGGAGTAAATGTACATGTATGCTTATTCAATCAGGATGGAGGACAGTGTAATTGCAAGAGTTATGTGGAAAGCAGGCAGTGTGACACATGTAAACCAGGATATTATAATCTCCAAGCAACCAATCCAGATGGATGTGACAATTGTAGCTGTGTTACCATGGGAACACAACAAGGAGATGTTACTTGTCATCCAACCACTGGTGTCTGTAACTGTAAAAATAATGTTAGAAGTTAGTATGAAATCAACCTTCATTTTGAGAAAAAGTTCAATTTTTCATTTATTTATTGAAGAAGTGAGTACATTTTTGGGCTCATTTGTAGATGATTGTAACTTTTACTGATTTTTTTATTAAATTAGGCATGTGATTTTTATCTACATTAACCCCTTCTTGCTGCATGCAGATATTATGTATGGTAGCCATCAAGTATGAATTTTAGAGTCTCATTTTGACCTAACCAATTAACTATATTTGGTTTACAGAATTAATGTTAGGCAAACATGTCTCTGATTGGTTTGTTGATTTACTTTGTTTTTTCATTATTGTTTTTATTTCATCATTGCTATATGAATGGTATAGGGTTATTGCATGAATATTGGTGAATATTGTCCCAAGTAGATTTTTATATTGTATGAGCTTGCAAGTGCAATATCTATTCTGCTATGCATAAAATTCACCAATATTCAATGATGCAATAACCCTTTAATGAACAGCAAATCTTGAAAAATTGTTTAAAAACATTTTTTCACTGATGATGTCACTGATTTGAAGCCTTATTTGCACTAGTGCAAACTGATATATTATTCCAAGCTAACTTTTGGTTACGTTCTGTATAAAATATGTTGTTGTTATACAATAAAAGAAGATTTGGGGTATACATCAATGAGACAGTTATCCAAATCACAAATAATGAAAAGACATCTATGTCAACATGCAGTCTTTATCAAAAGAAATTTGTCTTTACAATATGTCAAGCTCTAAATCATCCTGAGTTTAAAAGTTGTGAATAAATTAAGTAGTAACTAACAAAGTTCTCCCATCAACTCCAAATTATCATAGTAACAAAAAACATTAGGCCATCTTGTAAGTTTGATTCTTGTTGTTTAACCATGAACCCAAAAATAATGTTTCTGTCATTCATGGATTAGATGCCATCATACTAATAAGTTACCATCAACACTTCTTTATCAGTGTTAGTTATTTGTTTAAAATCATCTCACCTACTGAGGATTTATTTATTTTCGTTGGTACCAATTTTGGTGGATTAAGGAAAACTTACATGTTCGTGGATATTTAATTTCATGGTTTCATAGTCTGCATACAAGCCTTTAGATAATTTGTCATTCGTTGAACATTTAATTTTGTGGTTCACCTATAACCACGAAATCCACGAAAATTGGTATCCGACGAATAATAATGAATCCACAGTAATTATTACTTACATATTAAATCAAATGAACTGAGATTTTTGTTTTAATTCAGTAATTGAGTATATATGTATTATGATTTATAATTGGACAATTTTAGATGACAAATGCGATGCTTGTAAATATGGTTACTACAACTTATCCAATGAAAATCCCTTTGGTTGTACCCCTTGTGACTGTAACCCCATGGGAGCAACCTCACAGTTCTGTGATCCATTTACTGGACAATGTCCTTGTGAAGACAGAGTTGTAGGAAGGAAATGTGACGTCTGTGCCTCTGGGTATTATGACTTTTTCAATAACTGCGTTCCATGTAAGTGTGATGTTCAAGGTACTATTCCCGGTTCTATTTGTAATGCTGTTACTGGACAGTGTGTTTGTAAAACCAATGTACAGGGTTTAGCGTGTAATGAATGTGCCGATGGAAGTTTTGCCTTTGGTGCATCAACAGACAAGGGTTGCAATGACTGCACATGTGATTTAGCTGGAACTATTAATAGTACATCTAGCTGTGACAAAGTTAGTGGTAATTGTCATTGTAAGGAGAATGTTGAAGATATGTCATGTAATCAATGTAAAGGAAACACATTTGGATTGAATATTACTGATCCTGAAGGATGTCAGTCTTGTAAATGTGATCCAACAGGGACACAGAACGGAGATATGTCACCAGATAACCTGGCCTGTGATCAGAATACAGGGCAGTGTACCTGTCTGGCTAAAAGATTTGGGAGAACTTGTGATGACTGTGAACAGGGTAGGTTCTGTTTACCAGGTTCTTTGTAGTTGAGTTTATACAAATCTTTTTATCATTTTAGTATTTTATGGTTTTGTAAATTGAAGTTGTAACCAGCCAAAATATCTTACACATAATAAATTTTTTTTTTAAATAATGATGAAATGTGCAACTATTTGCAAATGTGGCCATTAATTTGATATAACTGCAACAAAAAAATAACAAATATGTTTGATGGAAATAATAGAAATTGTAATTATAAATTTAAAATGAAATTAACACCATTGCATTTTTGGAATTACAACTTCGAACTTTGAAGGTGTATGGGAATGAATTCAAAACTATGCAATTATGTGCCCTAAGGGTTCAGTTGCCTTATTTTTGGAACAGTTTTGTTTGCGCATTTTACCTGGGTACTTTGGGTGCATCTTACTGTTGTCTTTCCCAATAGCTGCCCGGCTACATACATCCATTTAAACAGCATTAAGGTAGAATAAGGGTCTAAATTAAAGATAGAATTTTTTGATAATTTGCCAAAATGTAGTTTATATCATGGCTTTTTCAAATATAAAATAAAAGTATGGGTCATTGGGCTTTTTGTTCAAACTACAGGTTTTGCAAAATTGTCAGATTTTGTATAGATTGTTCATGGAAAACACAATTTTGTGTGATAAAAAGATAAAATTTATAGAGAAAATATAAGGAGATAGCTCCTATATTTGGCTTTTGGAAAGTAAGAAAAAAAAAATAGGGTCACAGGGGTAAATTCATAACACATTACAGTATAAAAGTTACATTATCTGAGTTAACTCCCCTTATATGGCAAAAATATAAAATTGAACGAAACAAAAAGTATTATGAATTTTTAAAAAACATTCACACAAATATGATAAAAGACATCGTTTTCATCATTTAGATGAAAAGTCTAACAAACAAATTACATTCTTATCTCAAAATTTGCACATTTCATTAAAGATCTAAACCAATTTTTTTATGTTTTTTTAAAATCCAAGATGGCGGAAGACACCTGAGCTACCCTAACTTCATCAATAGCCCTATAAAAGAATATTTGCATGTTTTCTACAAAAATGTTCTTAAGATTTTGAGGTTAATCTGAAGACCGAAAAACTATTACCCTTTTGAAACTCCAATTTTATTTTTTATGGTAATACTAATACCCCTATGAAATTTCATTTTCCATTTTTTTTGTGTGACAAAATTAGTAAACCCTTTGAAATTCCATTTTCTGTATTTTGTGACTAGAACAATGAGGATATATTTTATTTTCAGATTATTATATCAATCCAACTCCTGGAGGAGGATGTAACCCTTGTGGCTGTGACAGCAGGGGAACTCTTCCTCTTACACACTGTGACTCTATGACAGGACAATGCTATTGTAAACAGCAGGGGTCAGGGGTCACTGGTAGAGCATGCAATGAATGTTTTGAAAAGTTTTACAACTTCAATAGTAAAATTGGAAAGTAGGTTGATTTTAATATTATTTATAAATTAAAAGTATTCTTTCTTTTTAGCTCACCTGGCCCAAAGGGCCATGTGAGCTTATGCCATCACTTGCCGTCCGTCGTCGTCTGTTGTCTGTTGTCTGTCGTCGTAAACTATTTCAAGAATCTTCTCCTCTGAAACTGCAGGGCCAAATACCTTCAAACTTAACATTTACTAAATTTTATCATCGGTATAAGGACATCATTCGTAAATATAGCTCAACATGCAGACTTCTTATACGTTCAGGTATTTCACATCCAATTTTTTATGGAAATATTCTTTATAAAGCACAAAAATGTCAGTATTCACCTCTGAAACTAACAAAACCTTTAAATAGACTTATTAAGAAGGGATATAGTTACGATACTGTTGTCAGGTCATTAAAGATTGCATATTTTGGCGTTGATATTGATTCACTTATAGGGTCTTTGCATCTGCACTAAACACATTTATTTAAAAACCAGTTGTTGGCATGACACGGGTTATGTTCTTCTCATATATGTTATGATGGTATGATACTAAACCCCTAACGGGTAGGATTGTGCCTGATATTCATATGATGAAGACATAATCTTTCAATCAGTTTAATTGAAGTCTGGAGCTGGCATGTCAGTTAACTGCTAGTAGTCTGTTGTTATTTATGTATTATTGTCATTTTGTTTATTTTCTTTGGTTACATCTTCTGACATCAGACTCGGACTTCTCTTGAACTGAATTTTAATGTGCGTATTGTTATGCGTTTACTTTTCTACATTGGCTAGAGGTATAGGGGGAGGGTTGAGATCTCATAAACATGTTTAACCCCGCCGCATTTTTGCGCCTGTCCCAAGTCAGGAGCCTCTAGCCTTTGTTAGTCTTGTATTATTTTTAATTTTAGTTTCTTGTGTACAATTTGGAGTTTAGTATGGCGTTCATTATCACTGAACTAGTATATATATTTGTTTAGGGGCCAGCTGAAGGACGCCTCCGGGTGCGGGAATTTCTCGCTGCATTGAAGACCTGTTGGTGGCCTTCTGCTGTTGTCTGTTCTGTGGTCGGGTTGTTGTCTCTTTGACACATTCCCCATTTCCATTCTCAATTTTATTTGACTGAATGTTCCTTAGGGTATCTAGTTTATAAATTGTATCCGAAGTTTTGATCCATCAACAAACATGGCCGCCATAGCTAAAAATAGAACACAGGGGTCAAATGCAGTTTTTGGCTTATATCTCAAAAACTAAACCATTTAGAGCAAATCTGACACGGGGGTAAAAATGTTCAATAGGTCAAGATCTATCAGCCCTGAAATTTTGAGACGAACCGAACAACCCATTGTTGGGTTGCTGCCACTAAATTGGTACATGTAATTTTAAGGAAATTTTGCAGTTTTTGGTTATTATCTTGAATATTATTGACGATAAAGATAAACTGTAAACATCAAAAATGTTCAGCAAAGTAAGATCTACAAAAAAGTTAATATGACCAAAATAGTCAGTTAACCCCTTATGGTGTTATTGCCCTTTAAAGACAATTTTACACAATTTGTTCATCATGTTTGCTTACATTTAAAAATCTTCTCCTCTGAAACTACTGGGCCAAATACTTCTAAACTTTAACTGAATGTTCCTTAGGGAAACTGGTTTATAAATTGTATCCGAAGTTTTAATCCATTAACAAACATGGCTGCCATGGCTAAAAATAGAACATAGGGGTCAAATGCAGTATTTGGCTCTTATCTCAAAAACTATAGCAGTTAGAGCAAAAAGTGACATGGAGTTAATTCAAGATCTATCTGCTATGAAATTTTCAGACCAATTGGACCACCCATTGTAGGGTTACTGTCGGAAATAGTTTATTTTTATGAAATTTTACCTTTTTTGGTTATTATCTTTAATATTATAATAGATAGAGAGAACGTGTAAATGGCACAAATGTTCAGCTAAGTAGGATCTACAAATAAGTCAAATGATCAAAATAGTCAATTGACTCTTTAAGGAGTTATTGCCCTTGAACTGTTTGTTTTTTACATTTTTTCGTGCAAGTCTATTTCTTTTTCAAAAATCTTCTTCTCTGAAACTACTGGGCCAAATACTAAAAAACTTTAATTGAATGTTCCTTAGGGTATCTAGTTTATAGATTGTATTCGGGGATTTGATTCATTCTAAAACATGGCGGCAGTTTCTAAAAATAGAACATAGGGGTCAAATGAAGTTTTTGGCTTTCATCTCAAAAACTAAAGCAGTAAGAGCAAAACTGACATAGGTGAAAGTGTTAAACAGGTTTAGATCTACCTGTCAAGTAATCATCAGACCAATAGGACAACTTATTGTTGGGTTACTGTCCAGAAATAGTTAATTTTTAGGAAATTTTACAGTTTTGGGTTATGTATTATCTTTAATATTATTATAGAAAGAGAGAAAGTGTAAATGACAAAATTGTTAAGCAAAGTAAGATCAACAAATAAGTCAAATGCCTGAAACTGAAATTACAGGTGAGTGATATCAGGCTTTCATGAGCCTCTTGTTTTCATACTGCATAGTTATATTAACTAGTTTCTGTGAACACTTTTCAATGTTTAAGGCCTTGTCACCAATAAGCAACAATTATCTTGGAAAGTACATGATAATATTTTAGGAAATCTTGTTTCAGGAAAATTTGAACAGAATTTGAAAAATTATGAACTCTTTCAAGATATGAGTGTGATAAACCATTAACTAACATCTGTTTTATGATTTCTCCCTAGTTGCAGTAGATGTGATTGCTATGAACCAGGCAGCAAGTCAGAATTTTGTGACCTTGTATCAGGACAATGTGAATGTAAAGATTTCGTGACTAGCAGAAGATGTGACACTTGTGTGACTGGTAGTAGCCATCTAAATGCTGATAATCCATATGGTTGTAGTAAGAGTAAGTCATGTTATTATATGTAGTCAGATATGAAGAGTTTATAATGGAAGTGATTGCTTTATCAAACTTATGATCATTGCAAACATGGCAGTAGTCAGGCTAATTTTATTTCCTTTTAGAGGAGGATGGAGTTGACCAATTACTATGAAATAATCGGAAAATATTGTGCATTTTACATAATGTCTCTTTTATTGCCATTTTCATCATCTTTGAAATTTCAGGATGCTTAAGAACAAGAACTCACCTATAACTAACACCACACCTATAACTAACACCACACCAGTAGATTCTTTTTTAATTTTACAATGTTTAAAAAAAATTTGCATTTCAATTAGGAAACAGAATTCTTTTAACTTCAATTGAAAACTTGTTTGTTTGTTGTTTTTTTTTTACATTAATTTAATTATTAGTTTGAATTAGGAAAAATGTCAATGCTATAAATAACTAATTGAAATCTATACTACCAAACTTTACTGGCATTAGAATAGCCACCATGACATGCATGGACAGCAGTATTTCTTGGAAATGTTAAGCCTAAGGCTAAAAACATACAGATGACATGTAAGAACTGAATATAAGTAATGCTGCCTTATATTTTGTAGTACCAGCCCAGCAGCCCCCACCACTTCACACTCAGCTGAGTTCTGAAGCCTTACATTTGTACTGGTATGAACCAGATTATACAAATGGTATCATTAATTCATACAGACTATTTAGAAATGGTACACTGGTCTTTGTTGGTAATGGTTCAGGTAAGTGTGATAAATATCATGGCTGACCAAGAATTAATTATCATTTTCAATGCCTGAGCTAAAAAGGGCCGAAATGGGATTATTTCCATAAGTTATGAACTTTTCTTACATGTTTTTAACTCTTAAATTAAGCTGGCAATAATTATTAGATAACATGCTAATGATATATTAATGGTTGGTTTTAATATTTAAAACAATACAGCAGAAAAATTTCCAGCAATCCTATAAGTGAGGCGAAAGGTACGAAAGGGACATTCAAACACATTAATCAAAAACAAACTGACAATGCCATGCAAAAAACTGAAAACGATCAAAAGACAAACAACAGATAACAGAACAAAACATAAAAAGGCAAAGAATGTGCAACATGAACCCAAACAAAAACCGTGGGGTGATCTCAGGTGCTTCGGAAGGGTAAGCAGATCCTGCTCCACATGTGACACCATCATGTTTCTAGTATAATTATGTTAATAAGATATACATTACAGTTTTGCAATGATTGTCACTGCATAATATAAGAAACTTGCATGATGAAAGTGCTACAATTATGTCTTAAGTATTCCTTGTTTTACTTTTACAGAAATGGAATTCAATGACACAGGCCTTTTAGCCTACACAAAGTATACTTATGTGATAGAAGCAACAAATGACTTTGGCAGTATCTATAGTCCAGCAGTAACATTTCAAACCTTGCCAGGAACTCCAGTAGGACTAGTTCTGATTAATATCATGTCTGTTACATCAAATACAGCTACCTTGTCATGGAATCAACCAGTCAACATAAACGGCCCTTTGTTGAGCTATTCCATCCAGTCTGAGACCCTGGGTAGTAACAATAGAACAGTCCACTGGACAGGAATGACTAAGTCAGCAGAGATAATTGATCTGGTTCCGTTTACAAACTATACAGTATTTGTTGTTACTTGTACACCTGGTGGCTGTCATGAGAGTTGGCCCACTTCGTTCTTTACTAAATCTGCACCACCCTCTGGAATGGCTGCACCCTTAATTGACATCGTCAGTTATTCAGAGTTAAACATATCCTGGGTACCACCTAAGTATTCAAATGGTAAGCTGTAAACTTATAATATTTTGAGAGTTTTTGTTTTCTCATTATACAGTGTATAAAAGAATGTGTGCTGCTGCCAATATGACAGGTTTCCTTGTTCTGATAAAGAGATTTTTTTTCTTTTTTTTTAAATGATAAATAGCAATATGCTCATAATTTGGTTATTTGATTATACCATATGTAACAGTTTAGATAATAACATAGATTTAAAGGAATGAAAAAAACTTCATGGTATTTGTATTTTATAATATGATATTTTATATATAAACAAAGTTCTTTTAGGTTATGTAATTCCATTCATTAGCTAGATTTTGGCAAAATTAAAAAATACAATGATTTATCCTTTCTTGTATGAATGATGTGGACTTTAACATAGTCATCATATTCGCTAGCTCAGGGTTACAATCTGACCCACTCCGCATCACCCTTGGCAGATTAAGTCAGACTTTGTGATCCATGAGATAATGATTTCCATTGGAAGCAGTTGTAAATAGCTGTACCAATCAAAAGCACCTTTAAGATGGTAGCGTGTAAATAAAGAAAATGTAAATAAACAATTGCCACATGGAGATTTTGCATCGTTTTTACCCCCAAGACATAGAGGAATACATAGTGACACTTTTGAAGTTCTTAATCACTAATTGAAGGTTTTGGGTATTTTCCTTGTGCAGATGTTGGAATGTCAAAGTATATATGTGGTTTCTGCTCTACGAAATTTGTAAACACTGAACACAGTCATGTTTACACCTAAGAACTAAAGAGTACATGTGCTGTCATTTGTCAATTATGATGAAGTCAGAGTGGGCATGACTTCTATCTGTCGCTAGAAGGCACTAGGCCATATACACAAATACTGTCTTAATCTGACAAGGTTGAAGAAGAGCTGGTCAGATCGTAATCCTTGGCTTGCGAAATGCATAGCCATTTGAAATCACTTTACAAATCAATAAGAGTGTTAACATAACTGACTTTTAAATTAATAATTTCAGGTATGATAATTTATTATGAGCTATGGATGAGAGGGGAGAAGAAACCAGATGGAAATTATGACCCTATACCAAATAGAATATTTCATCCTGGGGGACAGTACAATCCTAGGCCTACCTTATCTCCTCAGGAAAATACTTTACCTCCACCAGATACTGGTTATATCATGTCAGGGCTGGAACCATTTACATGGTATGAGTTTCAGGTAAGCCAGAATTGTTGTATGAAAAATGTTAACTAAGTATAGGGTGTACTTACAGAAAGTTTTCATTGTGTTATAGATGTATTGAAACTTAAGGTAAGCGTCATTATTAAATAAGAAAATATTGATCTTTGGGATGTGGTTATTGAAAAATAAGAAACTGGAAAATTATTGATAACTTTTTTATCAAATAAATCATTCAATTATTATTTTAGGTTTTAGCCGAAAACAACAAAGGGAAGACAGCTAGTCCATGGATAGGATCTAAGACTGGAGAAGCAGTACCTTTAGAGATGTCTACACCAAAAGTTCTACCCCACAGTAGTACTGCTGTGACTATCAGTTGGACAGCACCATCTGAAAATGACGCAAGGGGAACGATCCAGTCTTATGGTGTCTTTTTCTATGAACCAACCAATGAAACTGCCTTTCCTTTTGCACCACCATTCATATGGAAGGTATGGTATTTAATGGAAAATTCTTGAAATGTCTGGATATATTTTTGTACAGTTAAGAATTTATTCAATAGTAAAATAGGTAGACTTGTCTATGCATTGTACATAAGCTTGAGGAATTATACCCTGGGAAAACTATTTGTACAGAAATATATCCAGTTATTGAATGGTACTATAATGTAAAAGCTTAAGTTTTTGACGGTATTGTTTTAAAAAACAAACAGAGACTTTGATTATGATTTTGCATGATACAGTTACATTAATGTTCATACAACATAACTCTATCATTATTTTTGGCTAATTTTTGAAGTAGTATTTTCCATCTACTGTGTTATTTTTCACAAATACCACACTCCATTGAATATCTGAATGCTGAATACAAATACCATCAAGACAGTGAAAAAGAATGATAGCCATTGATTTTGTTTTAAAATTTTCAATCATTCAATCAAAATATAACTGTTTAAATGAGATGAAACTTATGTAGAATATCTTTCAAAAGTTCCGATTTGCCATGTGGACAATTTTTTTGATTTTGCATGGTTTTCTGGCTGGCTCTTAAAGTTATTGAAACAAATCCTGAAACAAAACTTCAAAAATTGTAACCTTTAAAATAAATATGTTACAATTTGACTATTTGCATTCACTTTGAATATAAATACACCATAACAAAAAACTGTATGTTTTGCATTTATGTGCAGGTATACCAAAATATTTCTTAATTGTTAAACTAATGCTTTTTATATTGTTCTCTTTCATAGCTGCTAGTAACAACTGATCCTAACATCACTACACACACACTACATCAACTGGAACCTTACACAAACTACACATTCAAGATACAAGTGTGTAACAATGTTGGATGCATCAACAGTACAGAAAGCCATGGGTTAACATTACAAGCCAGTATGTATGAGCTTTGTCATGAACTCTATTTTGAAATACTCTTTCATGGTTGATCCTTAATTTACTTAGTAGAATGATCCTTTAAGTCTTTGTGTTTGAATTTAGAAATCATCTGACCATTTGATGCAGAAGTTCAGCAGGATATAATAATATTTCAACATCTTCTCAAAAACAGACAAATTTTAATAATACTTCATACTCAAATCTATAACACATTTCATTCTATCATGAGTTCTTTTTACAATCATAGTTCCAGAAGGATTTTCCAAGCCACATATTGATAGTTTGAGTTCTACTGTAATTAGAATAACCTGGTCACCACCACTGTTATTAAATGGTCCACAACCTGTTTACTCTGTACAGAAAACAGAAACATCACTTAGTTTCCCAGCAAATGTTATACAGGGAACCAGATTTCCAGGAGGTGGATATTATAAATTTCCAGCATCTATTATTCCTTTTGATGTTGGATTTACAGGTAGGTTTCAAACATCCAACAGTTAAATATTAAAAAAACAGAAGTTTGAATAAGAATTCTAAAGTTTTTAGCAAAACAATTTTTCTGGTGCAGATTTAATGTGATGTTCTTGGCTCACAAAACAAATATGCATCAAGCTGTCTTAATAAAATTTATTGACATACAAATTAGATATGAAAGTGTAAAACAAAGAGCCATAAACCATAAAGAAATATTAACATTGATGCATTTCCTAATAATTTTCCTTGATCAGATATTGTTACCATTGTTCTTTTAAGAAACGTACTTATATTTTCTATGTGTTTTTAATAATGAATATATTTAATATATTTTTCTACAGGAATAAGATTTTGGTTTAGAACAACAACGACTGATTCTCTGTTAATGTTTGCTGGTTCTGTAGGGAATCAAGATGAATTTATTGCTTTGCAGTTTAAATCTGGTCGTCCTTGGTTTCTATTTGACCCACAAGGTATGTTAGTTTCAAGCTTAGTATAAGAGTAAATATTTTTAAATCGAGGAAATGAGTCAACATTCTTGAATTACATTTTTACATGACATCCTTTCATTGAATAATGTCAAGTTTGGTCACTATGTTTGTTTTATCTATTCCTGTGAACTTTACTAAAGAATACCACAGATACAGGTAGGTCTGCTTCATACTTGACTTACACATAGAAATCAACAGTGAAAGCCATGTAAGAACTGAACTTAACACAGGAGATGAATTAAATTTTTTCCGTTATGAAATTTTCATTTTTATGCGGTAACATTCCACCAGTGTGTGAATGTAAAGTATATATCTTACAGTTAATACAATATTCCTGACAGAGGGTTGCTACTTACAAGCCAGTTACTAAACCAAGGTTCTGATGATTAGGTTTAAGTCACCTATTCAAAGTTCCTTCCTAATTTATGACTTATCACTGGATTTTTACTGGTCATCAGCAGCATGATAGGTGTCATAAAATAGAACAGGAACTGCTTTCTGTTCAGGAATACCTGAGTTCACCTGAGTTTTAAAGGGTTATTTTTGTTGCTCAGTCTTGTTTTCTGTGTAGTGTTTAATGAACTGTTTTATCATGTTTGGCCACTGTATTTGTATATTCTCTTACCTGTGATTTTTATACGACCGCAAAAAAATTTTTGTGGTCGTATATTGGTATGACGTTGGCGTCGTCGTCGTCGTCCGAAGACGCATTAAATTTCGCACTCTAACTTTAGTTTAAGTGAATGGATCTCTATGAAATTTACCATAAGGTTCAATACCACAAAAGGAAGGTGGGGATTGATTTTGGGGGTTATGGTACCAACAGTTAAGGAATTAGGGGCCAAAAAGGGGCCAAAAATAAGCATTTTCTAGTTTCCAGACAATAACTGTGGAATGGTGTATGGATCTCTCTGAAATTATACTACAAGTTTCCATTCCACAAAGGGATGGTTAGGATTTGCTTTGGGGGGTTATTGCTCAAACCGTTTAAGAATTAGGGGCAAAAAAGGGGGAAAAACAAGGTTGTCCTCATTAATGGACAAATACTTTAGTACAAAACATAATTTAAAGCAGTGTATGGGAGATAAATCAAATACATCATTGAAATTATCTCCCTTACACTGCTTTTAAATTATGTATAAAGTAATGGTTAATGAACAATTAAGATAATTTAAAACAGTGTAAGGGAGGTAATCCAAATACAACGTTTTGGTTACTTCCCTTACACTGCTTTTAAATTATGTTTAAAGAAATGCATATTTATAAAGGAAGACCAGTATGGCGCATTAGATTTGTAAAATCTTTGACCACATTTATTTATTTGTTATGCTGAATCTAACCATGTATTTAGATTTTTTATTTGTGGACCCCGCTATCAAATTGGTTCATATTGAGGTCAAAAGGGTCCAAAATTAAACTTTGTTTGATTTCATCAAAAATTGAATTATTGGGGTTCTTTGATATGCCAAATCTAACCGTGTATTTAGATTTTTAATTTTGGGTCCTGTTTTTTAAATTGGTCTACATTAAGGTCCATAGGGTCCAAAATTAAACTTAGTTTGATTTTAACAAAAATTGAATTCTTGGGGTTCTTTGATATGCTGAATCTAAATATGTGTTTAGATTTTTGATTATGGGCCCAGTTTTCAAGTTGGTCCAAGTTGGGGTCCAAAATTAAACTTTGTTTGATTTCAACAAAAAATGAATATATGGGGTTCTTTGATATTCTGAATCTAAACATGTATTTAGATTTTAGATTTTTGGCCCAGTTTTCAAGTTGGTCCAAATTGGGGTCCAAAATTAAACTTTGTTTGATTTCAACAAAAATTGAATATATGGGGTTCTTTGATATGCTGAATCTTACCATGTATTTAGATTTTTTATTTGTGGGTCCGCTATCAAATTGGTTCATATTGAGGTCAAAAGGGTCAAAAAATTAAACTTTGTTTGATTTCATCAAAAATTTAATTATTGGGGTTCTTTGATAAGCCAAATCTAACCGTGTATTTTGATTTTTAATTTTGGGTCCCGTTTTTTAAATTGGTCTACATTAAGGTCCAAAGGGTCCAAAATTAAACTAAGTTTGATTTTAACAAAAATTGAATTTTTGGGGTTGTTTGATATGCTGAATCTAAACATGTGTTAAGATTTTTGATTATGGGCCCAGTTTTCAAGTTGGCGTCCAAAATTAAACTTTGTTTGATTTCAACAAAAATTGAATATATGGGGTTCTTTGATATGCTGAATCTAAACATGTATTTATATTTTGAGATTTTTGGCCCAGTTTTCAAGTTGGTCCAAATTGGGGTCCAAAATTAAACTTTGTTTGATTTCAACAAAAATTGAATATATGGGGTTCTTTGATATGCTGAATCTTACCATGTTATTAGATTTTTTATTTGTGGGCCCACTATCAAATTGGTTCATATTGAGGTCAAAAGGGTCCAAAATTAAACTTTGTTTGATTTCATCAAAAATTGAATTATTGGGGTTCTTTGATATGCCAAATCTAACCGTGTTTTTAGATTTTTAATTTTGGGTCCCGTTTTTTAAATTGGTCTACATTAAGGTCCAAAGGGTCCAAAATTAAACTTATTTTGATTTTAACAAAAATTGAATTCTTGGGGTACTTTGATATGCTGAATCTAAACATGTGTTTAGATTTTTGATTATGGGCCCAGTTTTCAAGTTTGTCCAAGTTGGGGTCCAAAATTAAACTTTGTTTGATTTCAACAAAAATTGAATATATGGGGTTCTTTGATATGCTGAATCTAACCATGTATTTTGATTTTGGACATTGGACCATAATAGGTAAATTAAAAAAATTGAAGTTCTTAGACCACATTCTTTCTGTGTCAGAAACCTATGCTGTGTCAAATATTTAATCACAATCCAAATTCAGAGCTGTATCAAGCTTGAATGTTGTGTCCATACTTGCCCCAACTGTTCAGGGTTCGACCTCTGCGGTCGTATCAAGCTGCGCCCAGCGAAGCATTTTATTTTATTACCCCGTCCTATCTTCTTACTTTTTTTTTTACAGAATTTGAATATTTTCAATAGGTTTGCATTTATTTGTTTTCATAAGAAGATAATGGCACAATAGATGTAAATTTTTAATCAGAGCATAATGTTATACATGGTGTATGATTAATAAATGTATTTATAGGAGGATTCCTCAGTATATTGAAATATAACTAATTTTCTTTTTTTTAAGATCCATGTCCTGTGTGGAAACATTTTACCAAAATAATACTAACATTGCTTTTTGTTTAGGCTGCACATCATATGTGGAGATCGATCCGTTAATGGATGATGATCGCACATATAATGATAATGAATGGCATTATCTGCTAGTGATGCGTGACAATGAATATTCCCTTATTCAAATTAACAATAAATATCAAGGTTTGAAATGAATGCGGTTTGCGGTGAAGCACTGATTTTAGCAAGCATTACTTGCCTGCTGCTAGTTGAATAGTTCTGAGTTCAACTTCTTTATTTTACTTTCTTGGCAAAAAAATCATATTTTAAAATTAATTTGTTTTAACTTGCATAGAGAGATATTTTATCAAACAGTTAAAGTTAAATGTTGTACTTGACATTTAGAAGAAATATTAAAGGAGTTGAATTCATTGTAATAGTTGATCATGACTCACAAAAGTTTTGCACTGTTGTTTGCACAAAGTTGTGGCCATATAGCACTAAATGTTTGCTTTTCTGAGAAATAATAATTGTATTGGATTTTTTTTTTAATGAATTTATTGATTTAGGTATAGAATGATAGAAATTTTAAATGTGAATATATTTAAATACAAAATAAATTATAAAATTAGTACCAGTTATTTTATCAATCTATTTTTAATAATTTTATTTGGCTACTTTTTTGTGCAATAACAGCATTGCAAAATTTCTGCATTTATTTGATTTTTGATTTTGATTTTTGATTTTTTCTAGATTTGTACTTTGAAAACTAACAGTTCTTTAATGTATTCATCTAATCTGTTAGTCAAGAGAATCTTGACTGCAATGAACTTTAAAATGATGTTTCTCCTTTTTAATAATTTGCTTATTCCACTAACAATTTGAACCGTCCTGCCAATTTAGCACTTATTCTCAGAAAAAATGACAGTTTTGTGTGTCCAGTTTGCAGTGATAGTCACATAGTTAAAATACACTAGTTTGAAGAAGTGATTTTAATTATATTTACTTTAATCAATCTTAGGCATTACATGTAATAGTTCTGATTTTCAAACTTTAAGGAAACACTTTCTTGTTTACTGAATACTCTTATTGCTGAAATTCTGCAATTTTATTTCAAACTTAGCCAATTTAAAAAGGTATTTTGTCAGGTTTATTACATGTTCATAAGATAAACTTTTTGCATATAGTATGGAATATGGATTATTTCCCATATAACTGAAATGAGAATATGATAATGCAGTACACTAAAAGTACTTTAAAATTTCATTACATGTACAGGGGCGGATCCAGGATATTTAAAAGGGGAGGTTTAATTCCATAAAACTGGAAAAATATTGGTGAGTGTAGTGAGGTGAAATTTTTTTGGATGATTTAATGCTAAAAAGTGATATATTTTCCAATCAAATGGGTGGTGGGGCATACGCCCTCTGCGCCCCCCTGAATCGACCACTCACATATATTCATATCTGTTCATACTCGAAAATATATGCAAAAGGTTCAGTAAGATTTGTATCAATTCTGTTCTGAATTAAAAAAAAACTAACAACACTGATTGATTCCTAGAATCAAAATTCTCTCACAGCTGCAAATTTAAAGATAAATAATAAGAATTGTTACAAATCCTCACTTAAACAAGTTTTTATGCATGATAATTTTGCATTGTTCAGGTTGTTCATCATTTGTCACGCCAACAAATGATGAAGGATTACCATATAATGATAAAGAGTGGCACTTTTTGGAGGCAAAGAGAGAGGGTAAAATTGCCAGCATTTCCATTGATGTCAGATGGACAGGTTTGACTTAATTAATATGATAAAGATGCTTGATTTCTTCATATTTCTTAAGCAAGTTTGCTGACAATTCCAATAGTAATGTATAGTTATTCAATAGTAAGCTATAAATTTCAATAATTATCTAATTCAATTTGAAGTAGAACAAGAGATTTGAAACATAAATGATTAAAATAAATTTTGAGTAGGACAAAGGCTTTAGAACATAGCCAGTACTGGTTTTTTTTATAGATTGTGAAATGATCAAGTATGGAAATTATATGACAAAATATTCAGTAGTGATTATTTCAAATACAGACTGCTGCACATGCAAAGGTAGTTTCAACAAAGCTTGTTTAATTAAAAAATTTAGAGTATGCAAAATATTGTTTCCATAGCAAATTCAATATGTGTATTGATTTGATTAAGACATTTATTAACAAAAAATTATAAATTGAAATTTAAAGAATTACTTAGTTCAGATTTCAAGAAAAAATGCTGTATTTTTTTTTGTTTTAGGTGTCCGTGAAAACACATGTGCAACAGGGACTATAATTGGGCCAACATCAGGTCTCTATATTGGAGGTGTTCCTAAAAACTTTGTCAGGAGAGTAGGTGGTCCTGATTCAAGGAAACAGGTATAGTGTCATGTGTGGTGTAGAACAGTAATGCAGCAATTGCATTTTTTCATGAAGGCCAAAGTAATATATCACTTGTTTCTCTAACACAACTACATAATCCTGTTACACACCAGGTTTACCGTTTATTATTGTTTAGAAAATCAGTGATTTCCTCATTTATTGTTTCGATACACTTTTCATTGTTTTTCATTACAAATTTGTTTCAACAATTTTCTCAATATTTATCAGTTCCTTTTATACATCATTTTTTATAAGCAGACTGCATATTTTCTAGCTTATAAGGTTATTTATCATACATGGTTGTCATGCAGTCTTGATGTTTGGCTTATGATTTGCCAAAATATAAATTCTTTTAAATAAAAAGTATTATTTTAGCCTTCAGTCCTCCCTTTGAATATTGAGGGTAAGTGTGATGTAACTTTCTGCATATTAATCAACAGTGTGGTGAGTTACAACAAACTGATAACACTGTTTGATTGGTACCTACTTTTTACTAGGTTATTTTTAGTTTATATTTAAGATGAAAAGGATACAAATGATTTCTATTGCAAATCATATTTAGATTACACATAGTATGTTGTCCTTGATTTGTGAAAATTTTTAGTCACCTTTCGCTTGCCTTATTTGTTGTTCACAAGCAATATTTAAGAAATATTAATAGAAATCATTGTCTGAAGTATTGAATTCAGATTTTTTCCTTTCTTGACCAGATTAAACATGTCTTTTGGTTATGTTTCAGGTTTTGGAGAAAAGTTTCCAAGGCTGTATTAAAGATGTTGAGATTTTACAACAGCTATACCCTGTAGAAGTATGGAAGCCTTTAGATTGGACAAAAGCTGCAACATTTGAATTAGCTTTTGCTAACTGGCAGGGTTGTCCAACTAATTTGGACACAGGTGTACATTTTATGGGACAAGGTAATTTTACTCTTATGCAGGATAACTGAGTAATATATGTAGAAATTAAAGGAAACTTAGGGTATTGGTCAATGTGACATCAACCCAACAACAAAATAAAATCAAAGAAACATCTAGATTTGTATTATGATTTTGAATTTCTGTAGTTGTTTTGTATGACAGAAAATGGAAATCAAAATTTCTGATATACAATACCATTAAAAGTTTTATATAGATTCTCCTTCAGTTACTAGTGAGTTACAATCTTGATCTCAACTTGTGGTGATTTGGGTTCATTCGGTCAACAGACTAAAACAAGACTATGATCACTAATACACAACATCAACACTGAAAAATAAAAGTGACAACACATCACTGAAATATAAAAGTGAAGACAACACATCACTGAAAAATTTTAAATGAATGAGAAACATGGTGCAAAAATAACTTAATGAGATCAGATGGACTAGCTGGAATGAGCATCTCCTGATTCTTTAAAGACATCTATCAAAATCTTTTTTTAGGATTTCTAACTTTGCTGTGGAACAGATTAGAAGTGAAAGACATAATTGGTCTCCATTTTACCCTGAGGACTGACATGAAAACTGGACTGTTGTTCTTTACTTATGGTGGACCAGGCATTTACTTTTATTTAGGAATGATAAATGGTGCACTACATATGCAGTTTTCTAATAATGTTGCAACAGGCAGTGTAACCTTCAGTCGTTCAGACATTTCTTTGTGTGATGGTTATTGGCACACCATTGCTGTAAAGAAGACAAACCAGGAAGCAGAGATTACAATCAACTCAATTACTGTGTCTAGTGGAGATTCAAGTTTTCCTCTCAAGGTTGAAACTGTTTCCCCTGTTTTCATTGGTGGAATACCTGACAACTCTGAGGCTACTCAGTTTGTCAAAGATAATGGGCTTACATTGCCATTTGTAGGTGAGTAAATTGTTATGCAGGGAAAGATATATATTTAGATAGCCATGAAAAAAACTAATTGGCTTTTTATTATGACTTTTCATATTAGGTAATCTGAATACCATTTGAACAAACAAAATTTAAGATTTGAAATATGAAGAATAGATTGATTGATTCATGGATAGATGGGTAGCGTCCATGAATAAAAGATAGCTTTATGCAAATATAAAGGTTATGCTATGCACTGGATATATCTTGTTATATGATTTGTTCATAATTACTTTGCTTATGTACATTTTTGTCAAGCCTGTGACTTCAGTTGCAGAAAGCGAGACATAGGGATAGTGATGCGGTGGCAGCGGCATTAACTAACTACTTAAAAAAAAGCTTTATAATTCAGAAGGTAAAAGACCTGGATGCTTCATACTTTGTATATAGATGCCTTATTTTATGAAGTTGCCATCTGTCATATGTCCATTGTCTTTGACCTCATTTTCATGGTTCAGTGACTACTTGAAAAAAAAGTTAAGAATTTTTGTAATGTTAATTTCTCTCTTATTATGAGTAATAGGATAACAATATTTGGTATGTGTGTACCTATCAAGTTTTTCATACCTGTCGGACAGTTTTCACTTGACCTCCCCCTCATTTCATGGATCAGTGAACAAGGTTAAGTTTTGGTAGTCAAGTCCATATCTCAGATACTATCAGCAATAGAGCTACTATATTTGGTGTATGGAATGATTGTAAGGTGTGCATTCCAACTGGCAGGTGTCATCTGAATGGTTCAGTGGTTAAAGTTTAGTTTTTGTGTTTTGGTCTGTTTTTCTATTACTGTATGCAATAGGTCAACTATATTTGATGTATGGAAATATTTTACGATGTACATGTCAGTCTGGCAGGTTTTATCTGACCTTGACCCCATTTTCATGGTTCATTGCTCAATGTTTGTTTTTTTTGTGTTTTGGTCTGTTTTTTCTTAAACTATAAGCAATAAGTCAAATATATTTGGTGTATGGAATGATTGTAAGGTGTATATGTCTGTATGGCAGGTATCATCTGACCTTGACCTTCTTTTCATGGTTTATTGGTCAATGTTAAGTTTTCCTGGTTAAGTTTGTTTCTTAGATATATTATGCAATAATTTAATTTTGGATGTAACATGTCTTCTGATTGGCTGACAGTGTTTTGTCTATCAGCTCATAGACATAATTTTGTCATGTGATCGTGACGTCATCAACGTTTTTCATGATTTTACTCTGGCTTAGAATGGAATTTAGAATTAAATTATAAGGAATGACTCTAATATTTTTTCTGTCTATTTGAAATAACATCAAAAATGTGATGCACACTTTAAAATAACCTGCTACGCGGGTTATTCAGTGTGCACCACATTTTTGATGTTATTTCTTCATAGAAAGAAAAAAATATTACAGTCATTCCTTAATTAATAGGTCAACTATATAGATGCATGGAATGATTGTTAGGTGTACATGTCTGTCTGGTAGATTTCATTTGACCTTGACCTCATTTTCATGGTTCATTGGTCTATATAAAGTTTTCATAGTTTGGTCTGTTTTTTGTATACTATCAGCAATAGGTCAACTATATTCTGTGTATGGAATGTTTGTAAGGTGTACATGTATTTCTGACTTTTAACTGATTTTCTTGGATCATGTTAAGTAATGTGGTTCTTGTAGTAAAACTTTATATTTAGGACTGTCAACACTAAATCAATGGTCAGTAAAGCAGACGAGACTTTTCAATGTGTGCACTTTTATTTGTGTTTGCACTGCAGTCAATTTTGGCTTTCTTGGTTTATAGGGCAATGAAGCATGAAATGTTAGTTATTGTGTCCTGTCCTGTGTATTTCCAGGGTTTGGTGGATGTCTAAGAGATGTAAGAGTTCAGAACTACATTCCATTTTATTATGCTGTCTATTTAAATTTTGTGGTCAGTGCTGTGACAATATCAAATGTCAATTTAGATGGCTGTTCTCCATTTCAAATACCTTACAGAACTTGCAGGAAAGACATCTTAGACTATATATACAATGGAACAGAGTATTTTTATGAGGATAAAAACTTAACTCCATATTCAGGTACACTTTATTTTTAGTTTGCACACTCTAAATCATTGTATGCATTGTAATGCACAGCTAGGTTTAAAAAACTTTCTTACCTAAAACAAAAATCTTGGTGTGCAGTTGCAGTCCACTAAATTGATGTCAAAAGACACATGTTCTGCCGGATTAGTGAAAACATGGTTATAGTAGGGTAGTGTTACCCTTGTCCTTCCATATGTACATCCCAGATAAGTGAAAACATGGTTATAGTATGGTAGTGTTACCCTTGTCCGTCCATATGTATATCCCTAGTATGGTAGTGTTACCCTTGTCCGTCCATATGTATATCCCAGATTAGTGAAAACATGGTTATAGTAGGGTAGTGTTACCCTTGTCCGTCCATATGTATATCCCAGATTAGTGAAAACATGGTTATAGTATGGTAGTGTTACCCTTGTCCGTCCATATGTATATCCCAGATTAGTGAAAACATGGTTATAGTAGGGTAGTGTTACCCTTGTCCGTCCATATGTATATCCCAGATTAGTGAAAACATGGTTATAGTAGGGTAGTGTTACCCTTGTCCGTCCATATGTATATCCCAGATTAGTGAAAACATGGTTATAGTATGGTAGTGTTACCCTTGTCTGTCCATATGTATATCCCAGATTAGTGAAAACATGGTTATAGTATGGTAGTGTTACCCTTGTCCCTCCATATGTACATCCCAGATTAGTGAAAACATGGTTATAGTATGGTAGTGTTACCCTTGTCCCTCCATATGTACATCCCAGATTAGTGAAAACATGGTTATAGTAGGGTAGTGTTACCCTTGTCCGTCCATATGTACATCCCAGATTATTGAAAACATGGTTATAGTAGGGTAGTGTTACCCTTGTCTGTCCATATGTATATCCCAGATTAGTGAAAACATGGTTAAAGTAGGGAAGTGTTACCCTTGTCCGTCCATATGTACATCCCAGATTAGTGAAAACATGGTTATAGTAGGGTAGTGTTACCCTTGTCCCTCCATATGTACATCCCAGATTAGTGAAAACATGGTTATAGTATGGTAGTGTTACCCTTGTCCCTCCATATGTACATCCCAGATTAGTGAAAACATGGTTATAGTATGGTAGTGTTACCCTTGTCCCTCCATATGTACATCCCAGATTAGTGAAAACATGGTTATAGTATGGTAGTGTTACCCTTGTCCGTCCATATGTACATCCCAGATTAGTGAAAACATGGTTATAGTATGGTAGTGTTACCCTTGTCCGTCCATATGTATATCCCAGATTAGTGAAAACATGGTTATAGTATGGTAGTGTTACCCTTGTCCCTCCATATGTACATCCCAGATTAGTGAAAACATGGTTATAGTATGGTAGTGTTACCCTTGTCCGTCCATATGTATATCCAGGATTAGTGAAAACATGGTTATAGTATGGTAGTGTTACCCTTATCCATCCATACGTACATCCCAAAATTGGTTTCCGTTCTCTACTTTTAGTTTGCCTCAACTAAATGTTATGAAACTTATACACAATGCTTGTTACCACAAAACACAGATCAAATTCGAATTTGGGTGGTGTCACTTTTTCTTTTCTCGAGTTATGCCCCTTTATAAAGATATATGCAAGCAGGGCATCATCTGCGTCCCATGAACACATTCTCATTCATTTTTTTTATTTTTTCAATATATCTTAACTGTTTTAAATAATCCATGTTAGATTTAAACTTGAAAAATCTGCTGTAAATACCTACACAACATTCTCAAAAATAACATGATATTGTTTTTGCTTACAGATTACTTGTACAGAGTGTTTGCCAATAATCAAGCTGGGCATGGCATTGGTCCTTGGTCTTATGGCAGAACTTTAGAAGGAGGTAATGATATAAAACATATATTTTTTCCTGTTATCATTTGTTGGTGTAAATAAACAATTGTGCATAGAAACGGTGTTCAGAACTCTTTGTTTGATTGACATCAATGTTTTGTGCAGAAAAAACACATAATAAAGTTGAAAATAGAAGAACTACTCCACAAAACAAAATATTTCCAGTTTCTTTTTTATAGGAGTAAATAGTTAAAATGTTTAAATGTTTTCAAATTGTTCAAGTTTTCAAAGCACATTACCTTTTTAATTGAAAAAAAAAATTATCTGATCCCATATACAACTAGTTAATTTCTGTATATTATAAAGATTGAATGAAAAAATATCTGAAAAAAACGGCATATATTATAGAAAAACAAAGGATATGGGCTTTCCATCCATGACACAAAATCAGTACATGCACAGCAAAAAACACAAAAAGCAAAGAAACAATATATTGTTTCATTTCCTGAAAGATGTCTCAAACTGAAAAAAATATTCATGCAGCTAACTTAAAATTTAAGATGAAAGTGACTATCTTGATTCTAGTTTGCCCTCAGATTATTTTTTTTTTTTTTTTAATTTTTTGTCATAGAACTCTTGCATTCAATGAACCACTTGATAAAATGCTTGTTTTGACTTTCTCTTGACAGCTCCTATAGGTTTATCAGCACCCTATGATGTAGTAGTTGTTACAGGTTATGTGATCACAGCAAAGTGGACGCAGCCGGATCTTATATCAGGTCTCCTCCAAAAGTATGTTTTACGTGCTCATAACCTTGAACATCCTGACATTCCACCTGTGGAAACTGAATATGACGATAAAATCTTTCAAGGTATTTCAAACCTAAGTTATGATATATTATTTGCTTGGTCTGCCTGACTAGTATTCCAAAGAATTAATTGTATAAGGTTTCAAAATGGCCAAAATGTATTCTAGTTAAAACAATGATAGATAGTGAATAGGTCTTTTTTTATTAGATTAACATTATACAGTTATTTTTATCATGTCTAAATGAGCAGAAATTTCAATTTTCAATCAAATGCAATGAAAACAGGCCAATTTCCGTTTATTTTCATGACCAGAAAAATAAAATTTTTTAACCTTTCGTTTGTTTTAAAGAATATTTGTCAAAATCACACTCCATATTTCCTACTCTTGAATTTGTTTGAAATTCAGATGATTTTGTCAACTTTTTACAAAGTTTTTACTTTTGGCACATTTTGGCCATGAAGATCAACTCTCGATACTTTCACACACATTTGTTTAACTTTTCATCTTCAAATAATGTACTTGATATTGGGGCCAAATAGGACCCTTTATGCACCTAATCCTGTTTTAAATCAATTGTCCAATATAAGTGAGAAGACATTTTCAAGGTCTTTTCTACTCCAATTAATCACTTTTTGGACCTATTGGACACATACTTCCTGTTTTCTGATTCTTTGAATTATGAATTCGGATATGCTTAGCACGACAATTTTCTATGAATTGGAATTGGATGGTATTTTGAAATGACAAAAAAATCTTTGATAAATGCTAGAATAGTTATTTTTGTGTACATTTCAGGCCAGATAAATAATGCCATACCCAATACAAACTACAGTGTAAAGATAATGGCTTGTACAGGTGGAGGCTGTACTGAGAGCACTGATGGTGTCATAGTCTTTACTAACCAGGAAGGTAAATATTGTAAAATCCACATACAATGTATGAATTAGAATATCTTTTCCTCTTTTGCAAATCAATTCCATTCATACTCCTCTTTTCTCACTGGTAGTTGCTGGTTTTATGTTTTATCTTGGTATCATCCAAAGTCTATACAATGTAGAACTTTTATATCTCTTGGAGTTTTTTTATTGTCTGTTAGTTAATAGAAGTACAATCTTGCCCTAAACTGCCATGAGACTTTTTTTCTTGGACTTTTTTTTACTTGTATTAAGATAAAATAACAAGTGCATGTATTTCCCAGGAAAATTTATTTTACTTTTATTTCTTTACAGACATTTAAATATTTTATTTATTTTTTATTAGGTGTTCCATGTTGATCCTCTTTTAAAGAGCTCATATTCTGGCTTAACTAATTGAAAAGCTGTTAAAAAAGTTTGAAGTAATTTAATTAGTTAAGGTATTGTTTTCTTGGTTGAAGGAAAATCTCATGAAGTGTCATTGGGGTTTCTTACTCCCTTGTTATAGTAGGAAAAATATTTATTGAAAGGTTCTTAAAAGTCTACATAATCATTCTTCCTTATACCATTGGACCGCTATTTCAATTGATTGTAACGTTTTTCCCTAGTTAATGCTGTCTGTTATGTTTTTACAGCACCAGAAGATGTTCCTGCTCCCACAGCGTTACCTGACATTGATTCTATGACTGTGATATGGGAGGATCCAGGGAAACCGAATGGCCTGATTACAGGGTACTTCCTGTATAAAGACGCTGAACTCATCTATACCGGGGGTGAGAGAATGTTTAATATCTCAGACCTACAGGTAAGTGTTTTCCTGTTTATCTTGTAATATTTATTAAATACAATATAAGTATAGGTTTTGTGGAAAAAAAAATAACAGGGTTTGTGAACAAAATATACAATTACGTTTTTACAAAGAGTCTACGCTACAATATAAATTTTGATGTCATAAAGATTATGGTTAAAGTGTAATAATCATTTACTGTGGATCCATTTATTTTATTTTTTTTATTAAGGTTCCAATTTTCATGAATTGAGGAAAAATTGTAATTTTTGTGGATATTTGATTTCGTAGTTTCACCAAAGTCTGCATTCAAGCCTATAGAACACTTGTAGTCACCTTGTTAATTATATTCAATTTTCAGGTCTGTATACTGGACCAGTTCTATGATATAGTCAGAACTATTGTTGGATGCACAACTAATCAACTATAAACTTGTCTTGTTTTGTAGGTCTATACATCTTACCAGTTTTATATAAGAGCCTGTACTATTGTGGGATGTACAAACAGCCCAGTAGCAGCTCTCAGTACTTCCCAGTTACCACCATCATTCATGAAAACACCTCAACTTACAGTTTTAGGTAAGTATTGACAAGGAAATTCAAGAAAATTGCATTACAGATATAAAAGTAAGATTGTTTTACTTTAGTAATAGTCTGTTGATATGAAAAAAGTGATATTAAAAAATGGTTATCCCTCATAATAAACTTTAAAATTGATATAGAAACATACTTGTCTTTATGTATAAAATCTAGAAAGCACAGCACAAAGTTGCAGCTTATATCTTTTCTTTATCCAAATTAGGGCAATGACTCCTGTTGAGGAGAAAAAATATCTGAAATAATACCAAGTTACTTATTTTAGTATTTTTAGAATGAATGCTTTTTAATATAAAATGTTGATCTTAATAAGGAGAGAAGTATTAATATAATATCCAATTCACTTTATTTGTTTTATCTTATCTGAATTATACTTTGCTGCACTCATCCAAGAAGCTTTGCCCTTTCACAAAAGCAATGGACAAAACCTTTTGAAGTTTTTACATTATTATACTGTGGATAATATTCTACCATGAAAAGAACCATTTACATCATGATATTACAGAAGACATGTATTGTAGGTACAACTGAAATAGAAGTTAGATGGGAAGAGCCACAACAACTCAATGGTGTTTTAGAGAGATATGTGATATATGTGTCACAGTTTCCTGTCAGAAATGGTCATGTTGTGTACAATAATTCAGATTTCTTCACTGACTTTATCATATCTGAATTATTACCAGGCACTGTTTATTACATTACAGTAGCAGTAAGTATGTTATTTGTTATGGCAATCACGGTCAGTTTGTAAAATTTCTATTGTGTATCATTGACAAGCATTAAACACACCGATAATGGATTGGACAAGTGCAGCATGGTATTTGGAGGTCATGCATTACCATTGTATACCTGAAATTTTACTAAAGGAGAAGTAAATTTCCCTGTCTTGAACTTTCAGTGAAGTTTTAGCTTTGGCTCCTTGTTGTAAGCCTCAATGTGACTTTGAGATGAAGTACAGTGGTACATGCACTGTTAATTTACTTTTTGAGTTTTGTATAGTGTATATAGGGATTCCTGTCATAAATTAATACACTATTTCGTTTTTGTTTAAATTGTTTTTGTCTTGAATTTTCAAGAGATATTGCCTCTTGGTGAAATTTGTAACTAAACTAATGATTAGTTATTTATAATACATTAAATCTTTGTAAACCTTTAATAATGCAGAAATATTAATACACTTTGCTCTGTAAACAAAAACCACCCAGAAATTAAATCTTATAAAAATAAGTAGATGTTCTAAAAAATGTATGATTGCTAATGAGACAACTATCCACAAGAGTTCAAATGAAGTGGATGTAAGCAATTATAGGCAACCATGGGCCTTCAACAATGAGAAAACCCCATACCATATAGTCTTCTATAAAAGGACCTGACATGAAAAATGTGAAACAATTCAAACAAGAAAACTAACAGACTTATTTATAACAAAACAATTTACGACAAACAAATATAACAGACATGAACCCATGACAACCACTGAACTAAAGGCTCCTGGCAGGCTCAACAACATTTGTCTAATCTGATCAAAATCTTCAATTCTGAAAGGCTTTAATTAGGCAGGTAGTTAATAGTAAATGCAATTCAATAGATGTATATAATGCACTGTATGGTCTTTTTATTTAGGCTTGTACTGGAGGAGGCTGTACACAGAGTTCCCAGAGTACTGTGAGAACAGAAGAAAGCTCTCCAGAAGGAGTCGAGGAGCCCACAATTATCTCCTTTTCATACTCAGAACTGAATGTGTCATGGATCAGACCACTAAGACCAAATGGTATAAACTTTTATTAATAAAAAATTCTTTCATATATGATGGCATGTAGATATTTATAGTAAATGCTCGATTGAAAATAAGATGAATTTATATCAAACAAAGCAATACAAGTGGTAGTGTTGGTGGTGGATTTTATGTGTTAAACAATAATGAAAGTTTATTGTTTTACAATTTGATAAAAAGTATAAATTGCTAAAAAAAAAATGATTTATAAAAGATATCGGTTAAGTAAAATCCAATGTTACTCATGAAAGAGGGTCAGGATAGGGGTCCTTCATTTCTGTATTCTTTAATTTTTTAAGCCATTTTTCTCTATTCATTATAAGTTTTGCCAATTATTCTCTTTTCTTTATATTTCAGCACGCCATTATTCTCTATTCTTTATTTTTTTTACCTATTTTTCTCTATTCTTTATATTTTTGCCCTTTATTCTGCACTTTTTTCCCATTATTCTCTATTCTGTAAACCCCATCCAGACCCTCATGAAACTGTTTTGATATATCTTCATTCTGATTTTATTTTATTTATTTTCAGGTCACATTACAGCATACTTTCTTTATCATAATGAAGTACTAATTTACCAAGGTCTACTGTTTAGTCAACTTCTATCAGGATTAGAACCATTCAGTCTACATACTTTCAGAGTAGTGGCTTGTACTGTAAAAGGTTGTGGGTCCAGTCGTTTGATCAATGGTAGAACTCTTGAGGCTCAACCTAATGGATTTGTTGTTATGGAAGCTAAAATTCATGATTCTAGGACCATAAGTGTAAAATGGACTCCTCCAGACACTCCAAATGGATTAATCCATTATCGTATCTTCTTGAATGGATTATTTTACAATGCTCCAGGTGAGATAAAACTAGTGCTGAAATCTTTGAATCACTTTGCTTTCCAGTCTGATAGTAAAATTTCAGGAATTCAATTGTTTTTGTTTCAGTTGAACATTGATAGTTGTAACACAGTTTATACAAAGTACAGTTGTATTAGTAAATAAATAATTGTTTCACCAACAGATAAATAGCTTATAATAGTGATATTTTATCTATTTTGATAACACTTATATAAATTTTTTTGTCAAAAATTAGAATATTTTACACTTTTAGAATAAAATGCCAAATGATAAAAAAATTAGTTTTAAATAAGCAAACATGATGTATGCCTATTGTTGAGGTCATATGATGACCCGTAGACATTACTGGTCATCTTCTTTGGTTATTTTGAGGGGTAGTTGTCTCATTGGCAATCATACCATATCTCCTTTTTGTCTCATTGGCAATCATACCATATCTCCTTCTTGTCTCATTGGCAATCATACCATATCTCCTTCTTGTCTCATTGGCAATCATACCATATCTCCTTCTTGACCCATTGGCAATCATACCATATCTCCTTCTTGTCTCATTGGCAATCATACCATATCTCCTTCTTGTCTCATTGGCAATCATACCATATCTCCTTCTTGTCTCATTGGCAATCATACCATATCTCCTTCTTGTCTCATTGGCAATCATACCATATCTCCTTTTTGTCTCATTGGCAATCATACCATATCTCCTTCTTGTCTCATTGGCAATCATACCATATCTCTTTGTTGTCTCATTGGCAATCATACCATTTCTCCTTGTTGTCTCATTGGCAATCATACCATATCTCCTTGTTGTGTCATTGGCAATCATACCATATCACCTTGTTGTCTCATTGGCAATTATACCATATCTCCTTGCTGTCTCATTGGCAATCATACCATATCTCCTTGTTGTCTCATTGGCAATCATACCATATCTCCTTGTTGTCTCATTGGCAATCATACCATATCCCCTTGTTGTGTCATTGGCAATCATACCATATCTCCTTGTTGTCTCATTGGCAATTATACCATATCTCCTTGTTGTCTCATTGGCAATCATACCATATCTCCTTGTTGTCTCAATGGCAATTATACCATATCTCCTTATCCTTATTTTTGATGGGTTTATTACAGATAATTGGGACTACAGTACTATAGAGAATCGTAGAAGTGTATACAATAACACAGTATCTAACCAGTGGGTACAGGTATCACCTATAATACCTATGTCTACCTATAGTGTACAGGTGAATGCCTCCAACACAGCAGGATATATACTCAGTAATACACTACAGTTAGATATGCCAGAAGGATGTAAGTTATATTTATCATTTTTGCTCATATACTGTTACTTGTTTATATTGTTTAAGATTTGTGGAGCAATATTAGTGTGAATGAAAAATTGCCAATTTTTAGCATTTTGTTTCTGTGGTTTCAACAAAAAACAATGTCTTCAAGCAAATGATTTTTTTTCTAAACTAATTTTAAATCATGAAGAAAAAGATGTCAGAAAAATTTCAAATAAATCAAGAACATTTATGTAGTAGTTTGATTATACACAGACAGCTCAAAATAGCCTCTTGTTGATGAAAAGACATTTAGAAAAAACATTCATGTTTTCAGCACCTGATGGTGTGGAACCACCTACTGTAATATCACAGACATCCACCTCAGTCACAGCAACATGGACCTCAGTTGGTAGACAGAATGCTAGAGATGCACCTGTTTATATTATACAATTTAGGGATCGTAATAACTCAACTATTGTCAAAGAGTAAGTAATTCTATAATGAAATAATAATGAGGATATTTCAATGGGTCTGCTTCATTTGTTCTAGTTTGGGCTATGCCTGGTAAGCCCTACCATGTGACCAGGTTAAAAGCCGCTGAAAAGTAAAACAAGCGGAACCAGCTAAATCAAAGATGGTGATCGAAGTCCACATTTATACTATTTGCTTTCCAAGCTGTGAAATATGAAAAAATGGACCTGTTAATAATAAATATAAGTACAATCTTTTTTCCGAGACCTTATTCCTCGTAGAAAACATTTCTCAGAGAAAATTTTACAAATTTAGAAATAAGATATGGCTAAGCATTCTATTATCGTCATAGTGGACCATTGGAGTATCACATTAGTTTGATTGAAAAATGTTACAATCTTTTAGAATAACATTTATCAATCAGAATTAATCGTAATCAAAATATATCCAATAGATTAAGTAAGAAAACGTCTTTCAATTTCGACATTTTACCTTACAATACACTTTCCACCATACTTTTTTGTGTGTTAAGACCTGCAAGGGCGGCTGATTTCTTAGCAAATGAAGCAACTGTACCTATACCAGAAGTACCAACCGGGCTAACCCCGGTTAAGCCGCTTTGGCAAATGAGGTACTACCAATAAACAAATACTCTGACATTTCATACAATTTATCATATCAAAACAGAAAAATTCATGTTTCATTAGGAATATTTCATTAGTTATGAAAAATTTGAAAAATATTTCATTAAACATAATGGGTATTTATCCTTTGTTTTACAGCATATTTGGACCAACAACATCTTACATCTATACCAAGCAACAGCTACAACCCTATATGGAATATGACTTCAGAATAAAAGCTACCAACAGTCAAGGTTCTACTTATTCTCCATGGGTGATGATTGTAACTTTACAAGATAGTGAGTAAATATTTTGTTACTGTGGAAGGTTACAAAAAAATTAGTTTTTATACCCTCACTCCTATGGGGGCTTTAATGCAATCCCCTTGTCCATCATCCGTTTATTTGCATTAGCAAAAAACAATAAGTAAACATCAGGTTTTCTGCACATTGATATTGTGAAATATCAACTGTCGACACAGCTTGAAGTATTTTGGCTAGTTCACTGCATTCACTCACCAAAAAATTTCACATTGTGACTCTCAGCTGATATTTTACAATATTAATGTACAGAAAACTTGATAATCTTTACTTATTGAATTTTGCTGATATTAAGTACTAATTTAGGAGGAGTAGAAGATATTGGTCTTTAATTTGTTTATCATAATATTTTGGGGGATTTATTGCTCTTTTCTTGATCAATATCATGCCAAACAATTTGTGCATCAGTAAACAGATAGGTCATTGATTTTACAGAACCAATTGGACTGGATCCCCCAATGATAGTAGATATAGGAACCAGATCTGTCAACTTGACATGGCAGGCTCCCTTGATAAGTAATGGATACATAGCTGAATATAAGATATATGTAAATGGAATACTTGGAAGATCAGTAAGTACTTGTAGTTTTAAATTTTAACTTTTATTTATTTGTTGAATTTACTTTATTCCTTGATTTTTCAATCCATTTTTTTTTAAATTAGTTTTTTTTTATTTGAAAAACAAGTAACAAAAATACTTATTGAAGCAGTGATGTTTGACTGAAGAACAAGGAAAATTAAATTTACTAAACTTCAAGGTTTATAACTCTATTTAATTCGTAATTAACTTCAGACTATTTATAAATTAACTGACACGAAAAAAAATATAAGTTTTGCTATAGTTTCTAGCACTGAACAGAAACCATTCAATCTTAAAATTTCACAACAAATGTATTTTAGGCTACATTTGATGAAATGCCAGTTACAATAGGAGACTTAGCGCCATTTGAACTATACAATTTTATTGTGGAGGCTTGTACATCTGGAGGTTGTACAAACAGTAGTCTGTCTAATATTATCAGGACTTTGTCTGACTGTGAGTAATATCAGTCAAATATTAAATTGATTTTCTTATTTACATATTTTACTGGTCCTGAAGATGCCGATCTAATCGGTGATACATGTCGACAATAAAAGATGCAGTTTACTTAAGTGTTGTTGTCAATGTAGCGGTATTTGATTTTTTTATCTGACAACCCATCTGGTATCCACTTAAGGGAACTCTACCAACACAAAACATAGGAGGCGTTGGTTCAGCAGCTCTTTATTTACATATTTGTCAAAGATAGTGATGTGATAATGGTATTTTCTGGGAAATTTTACACTTTTAATTGCAGATTTTTCTGAATGTATTTAGTAATAAAAATGAGATAAAAGTTATTGAAAAATAGAAATTGTCACCTCAAAATTATAAAAAAACACTGTTCAGATTTTTTCAACAGTACATAAATTTTGCATTTTTTAAATGGATGATATACAGTAGCATCTGTTTATATCATACAATAGTTCTAATATACATGAAAATAGAGTTCTTGTATGCTTTAGATGCATGCATTTAACAAATCCAAGTTAAAACTAAGCAGTTTAGCTCCCAACATTTGAATAACATTATAATATAGGCTTCCACATATTTATTTCAACACAAAAGTTATTGAATTTTGCTTAAAATATAATTTATAGACTAAATTAACTTGCCTACTTATGCAGAAAAGGAGATGTGTGGTATGGATCAATGAGATAACAAACAAGCTACACAAAATAAAAACTAAGACATCTGTATGTTTATTTTACATACAAATCATCTCATTATACTCTGGAGACATATATGGGTATCAAATGCATGTATAAGGAATTTTCAGATTTTTTTAAACCTCGATAAATACAAACTAGTAAAATATACAATTTTAGATGTTTCTGATTTCAGTACCAGAAGAGTTGTCAATGCCAACCTTGACCTCTCTGACCCCAACTTCAGTCCTTATTACATGGTCAGAACCTGTACATCCAAATGGTTTGATAAGTGAATACATCATTGAGCGCTATTCACATGAAATGCTATCAAATCCTGTAATCATTACCCAAATATTGCCATCAACAAACCTTGCATATGTGGATGAATCTGTTGAATTGTCTCCCTTTACAACTTACAACTACAGAATAATGGTTAGAAATGATGCAGGGGCAACTTTCACACCATGGTCAGCTGTTACTACAATGTCAGCTAGTAAGTGATAAATTCATTGTTCATAAGCAAAAGTTGGCTGATGAGAATGTTTATTATTAAAAACCCTAGAATTATTTATATTATAAATGATTTTATTTAAGATTGCCATGTTAACTGAAGAATATGTATTTTAATTCACTCTTCAGTTGTATTAATATACAAAACATCATTATCTACTGATTTATATATATTTTGATGTTATTTTGTGAATTTTGAAAAATATGCAAAATAAATGTTGTTTGCTTTGGTAAAATTAATTGTAAACTAAATTTAAAGTTTATTTTCACTGAACTAGTACACAATTTTATATAGGGGCCAGCTGAGGACCACCTCCGGGTGCGAAAAATTTTATATAGGGGCCAGCTGAGGACCACCTCCAGGTGCGGTATTTTCTTGCTGCGTTGAAGACCCATTGGTGGCCTTCGGCTGTTGTCTGCTCTTTGGTCGGGTTGTTGTCTCTTTGACATATTCCCCATTTCCATTCTCAATTTTATTAACATTAAAGTTTAGAATGTACATTATTCAAACTAAAATTGACCAATTCTATAATGTTTTTCATTTAGAACCAAGTGAATTGTTGCCACCAGCAGTACAGAAAGTGAGTCCTACATCATTAGAAGTGACATGGCAACCACCAAGAAAACCTAATGGCATACTGGAATACTATATGATCCGATTACCTAATCCTAGTGTTGAGATCAGGAATACAAGTTTACAGACTGTGATGATTGAGGATCTGTTTCCATACACACAGTATTTTATTACTCTTACAGCTTGTACAGGTAAGAGATGCGTTCCTATGCATTATATCTTCACTTGGATGCATTTGTAAGTTTTAAATGTTCCCCTTTATACATGCTCATAAGTAGGACTAAATAGGAAAATTAGGTCCAAGGACACAGTTATCGTCCTTTGGTTTTCGTTGTCTACGAATATAGTCCCTAGTGTGAACAGTGTATAACTTGCATTTTTTTTGATACACTTTCCCAATTTATTTCTTGATATTTTATGCATGAAATATTAAGTAAGGGGATGAAATTACATGTTAAAAAAATTTGGGTGCTGAATCTTTATGTTAAGTAGTGATTTGGTCCAGTTAAAAAAGGTCAAAAATTAGAATGTCGGAAGCTGTCAAACTGAAGTTTAGCCCCCCTTAACACAGAATTGTCAATATTTTGAGTTAGAGCTGGTAGAAGTTTCTATAATTTTGATATTATTTGTATCAATAGTAGTACACTACACTGTAAAAATCTTTTTGAGATAGAGCAGGTGCGATTTTTTTAATTTGAATTTATTGTCTAAAAGAAATGCACTATGAAATAACTGTGTTCTCGGGCCTAAGAGATGAATTCCGTAAATGTAGATTCTGTACTTTGGCAACTTTCCTGAATGGTTTTCTGGTTTCAATTTGTCAAACTCAATAAAAGTAAAGGATTTAGATCTTTGTTTGACAGAAATTCTGTTAAAATGTCCCATTTTGGCATTATACGGCTAAAATAAGCATTTTAAAGCAGTTTCCATTTTATGCCTAAGAGCCGTGCTGACTTTCTATCTGACAGCTTTTTATGTTCCTGATATTTGTGTTTCTATGCTTAAATCAAATTTAATTAACCATTTGTGAACTCGGAATCTAGAGAAAAGTAGATTATCACAGAAAAAATGTGCAGAATATTTGTATTTATGTCCCTGGTTAAACGGCCTGTTTGATGTATGTGAAATGTGAAGAGCTTTGTACATAAAATCTGTAGTCCGTCACAAATATTTCACTAAATCTGTAAAAAAAACACTTTACAATGATCAGTACACCCTATTCATTTCATATGCTACCATAATTTTCTTCTTTAGGATAGTAAGTGGTTCAAATATATGCCAAATGAGACTAAAACTACATGCACGTTTTCCATTGAAAAGTGAAAAACTGGTCATCAGACCATACTGTCTGCAAAAAAAAGTTGAATTCAAGAGTCCTTTTGCAATTAGACTTCTTGTATCATGACATCTTAGCATAAAAATGAGCAAAAAGTAACAAATTTCACTTCCTTATAGCCTCTGTGTGCATTTTTATATGTAAATATGGGCTACGGCCTAAATCGACTCTAAATAATTCTCAGTCTTACATGGCCTAAGACCATTTTATACTCATGTGGTATGCTTTTTGTAACTTTTCTTTACATTTAAAGTACATTTAATATATATGGAAGAATAATGTATGGTTAAAAACCTTCAAAAACTTCAAATTGGTTGAAAAAAATGCATGTTTATGTAAGGCTTCCCTTAATTCGAAAATCTCTATTTTCAGGCACAGGCTCATATAAATTTGACTTTTGAATAACTGTAATAAATCTGATAAATCAAATGAGTGTTCCGTTGCTTTTAATACTTATTATATTAAATTCAAGAGTATTTAAAAAGCAAATTTTTGCAATATTTAAATTTTTTAGGCCAAAATCTTGACAGTTGAAAATATTTGATTTAAACGTCAAAAATAAACATCCAAATTTCAATATTAAAATGGCCCTAGTTTCTATAATATATATCCTATAGCCATGAAACTTGGCCAACTATCTTAAAATTGCCTAAGCTTAGGTCATGCAAAGTTTTATTAAAATTGGTCAAGTCTTTCTATCCTATTAGGTCCAAGGACACAGTTATCGTCCTTTGGTTTTCGTTGTCTACGAATATAGTCCCTAGTGTGAACAGTGTATAACTTGCATTTTTTTTTGATACACTTTCCCAATTTATTTCTTGATATTTTATGCATGAAATATTAAGTAAGGGGATGAAATTACATGTTAAAAAAATTTGGGTGCTGAATCTTTATGTTAAGTAGTGATTTGGTCCAGTTAAAAAAGGTCAAAAATTAGAATGTCGGAAGCTGTCAAACTGAAGTTTAGCCCCCCTTAACACAGAATTGTCAATATTTTGAGTTAGAGCTGGTAGAAGTTTCTATAATTTTGATATTATTTGTATCAATAGTAGTACACTACACTGTAAAAATCTTTTTGAGATAGAGCAGGTGCGATTTTTTTAATTTGAATTTATTGTCTAAAAGAAATGCACTACGAAATAACTGTGTTCTCGGGCCATTAGAAATGATAAGACATGCTATTAGTATTTCATAAAACTCTTTTTTTAAACCGAGTTGAATAACTCCCCCTTATAATATTTTGTTTGCAAATAAAGTATTTGTCATTCTTATATACTGCACCCTGTTCAATAGAATACTTGATTATTGTAGAATTGACAATGAATTTAGCAAAATGATAACTACTTTTATAGGGATTTTTCACTGAAATATTTCTGTCTTTACATATGAATTATTTTCCAATTTAGATGCAGGATGCACCGAAAGTACAGTTGTTGTTGTAAGAACTGATGCCACAGTACCTGAAGGACAGGACCCACCTCTCCCTATAGTGGTATCACAGACTATTATATCTATAGCCTGGTCTGCACCAAGCAGAGACAATGGTCCAAATATACGATATGAACTCTCCAGGATGAAACTCAGACAACCTTTAGAAGGTATGAAGTGCTTGCTGTTAGGAGTGAGCCAAGGCTCTGTGTTGAAGGCCGTACTTTGACCTATTATGGTTTACTTTTACAAATTGTGACTTGGATGGAGAGTTGTCTCATTGGCATTCATACCATATCTTCTTATATCTATGAAGTGACTTGTTTATTATAAACTTAAAACTGACACAGTAATTGATTATTCAATACTGCACTCACACACAATGTGATTACAGTCATTGTTTAAAATTGATTATTATACTCCACTCTAGGAGGAAGGCTGTATTGCTATCACCTTGTCATCTGTGTGTCTATTCATCTGTCCAACTATCCGTTTGTTCATCCAACAAATATTTTCTCGGGAACTATTGGACAGAATGATTTCATATGTTGTCAGCTACTCGACAGTGATGAGTTGTAAAGTATGAGCTTTTGTTTTTCGATCTGTCGGACACCAACTTCCTGTTTGTCAATACTTTTAATTTTTCAATATGCTGAATGATAGCAATTTTTTTCTTCACACTTTTCTTAGGAATTCAAAACAGAATGACCATATTTGGCTGGCAGTTTGACAGCGATGAGTTGTAATGTCTGAGAATTTTTCAGTTCTTTCAGAAGCCTTCTTCTCATTTTCAATAAAGGCTGTGTTCTTTAAGAAATTAGAGGATATTTATACATTGAGGTGAAAGTATTTTCTATTGTCAGGTTTGTCCTAGCAATAACAGGAGATATATAGCATTCAATATGTCTTTAGGATAAGTCAGTATGTAGTATTTAGTGCTGTAAGAGATACATGTATTGGAGAAATATAACAAAAAATATAGATAAACAAATACATGTGGTTTGTAGGTAAATAGTGATAATAATGTAAACAATTCTTGAGTGCAAAAAGATAGGTCAAATTGTGAGTTGGAAAGTTTGTATAGAAATATCTTAAGTTTTTTTTTTATCTTTATTAATCATACTTCATATATACACGAAATATTTGCCACTGGACGTTAAGCAACCAACAATCAATCAATCATATATACACACTACAATTATTATATACACAATATGCAATACATATACACACATTTATATACATTATTATCACAGTTTGAAAATTTCCATTCAAGGTTACTCTAATATACTTTTATATATTTACTTTGAAAATTATTACTTTGTTCCATTTTTTCCGATTGGAATTAAAAAAAACTCTCTCTTATCAATTTAAACTTTGTCATTCCTATTCAATTTCTTAAACAGTGATTTTAGTCAAAACAGTTATGCACTATGAAAAAGAAAAAAAGAAAAATATAATATATGCAGATGGATTTCCAATTCCTTCACATATCCAAATTCTAAAGTCAGCTATGCACAAGTTATTGACCAAAAGACATCTTTTGAAAGTGAACAAAACTGATTATTTCACATTATGAAATCATCAATGCTAAATAATACAATGAATAATTAAACTACAACAAAAAAATGAAATATTTATATACAACACAATTCATTTCTTATAAATAAACAGTTCATTATCATGTGCAAACTTGGCCATCAAGTCAATTTTTTTCGTCAGTATCGTCTGGACAAAATTCATAGTCTCACACATCACCAAAGTCTTGTTCTAAATTTTTCTTAAATTTATTGTAATCAGAATCTACTGAACGAACTTCTCCTACATTGTAAAGTCCTCTATCATACTTTATAATTTTACAGGTCCCTTTTAATTTTGCAATTAGTTTATCTGGTAATAACCTTCTTTTCTTGATCACCACTTTCGAAATAATGTCTTCACTTCCAACTGATATCTCCTCATCTTCAGATTCATCAGAATATTGATCGTCTTTTTGTTTTGACATTTTTGTTTCATTTCTTTTTGGTTCCAAATTTCCCAACAAATTTTATCGACAATGTCTATTGATTCAGAACTTTGCGTAACTCTCTGACATTCCTTCACGCAATCTTTCTGGAAAAGTTTATCTGAAAAAATTGTACTGTTTTCTGGTAATTCTTGTGTATTATTGTCTATAACGGTGGCAGTTTCGGCGCTCCTTACATTTTCATTTGCATTTTCTATTTCCATCAATTGATCACAATGAATAATTTCAGTTGCTTGACAATCGTTTCTTTATGTATTTTCATTTTCTTTTCTAACTTTTTGCATAAAATTTGCCATCCTATTGTTATCTCGGCTTTCCATAGTTTTTACTTTCGTTTAGTTTGTTTATCGTCATTTTGTCCAAACATTATCGAAATTCTCGCTTTACTTTCATCCCCATGTATTGTAAATGTTATATTATTAAACAAACTACATGCATTGTCTATTGATTTTACCAATAAGCAGGTAATTTATCCATGTCTAGTTAAAATGGAAAAATGTTCATTGATAAAATTTACATACTTGCTAATCAAAGGTGCGTTCGACTTTTTCATCTTAGGTAACCCAACTCTTCTGGACCTAACATACCAGTCTATATACCTTAATAATATAAATACTTATAATTTCCTTACTAAAATCATCTGATGGTTTGGTATATTTGCATATTTTATTTCAAGGGAAACAATTTGAATTTTGTAATACAGCAATCTATATTTAGGTTTGGGGCTTTTTCTTAATAGATTTTCACTGTTACATAGCATTACATCACATAGTATTGAAAAATTTGATTTAATTTATATATTTGTTAAATTTGGTGTCTTCTGGCTATTCCTACATTTTGTATTTTACTATTCTGGCTATTCCTACATGGGAGATTAGTGGAAGAACAATAGATGTTGTTATTGGAAGATATGTTGTTTTAGTCATTAGTGTCTAATTGGGTCAAAGGTAAATTTACCTGTGGAAATTAAATAAAAACTATTATTTATATGTAAAAAATTGATTTTTTTTTGTTTGAAAACATGAATCAAGTATTAAAGTTAAGTGTTTCTAATATTATGGAATTTCTAGAAAATAAAATTATTAAGTAAAAGCATTTGAAAGTCTGGAAAAAACGTATTTAAAAGAAAATTAATAGTAAAAAGTTAAACCACAAAAATATTGAACTCCGAGGAAAATTCAAAACGGAAAGTCCCTAATCAAATGGCAAAATCAAAAGCACAAACACATCAAACGAATGGACAACAACTGTCATATTCATGACTTGGTACAAGCATTTTCCTGTGTAGAAAATGGTGGATTGAACCTGGTTTTATAGCGCTAAACCTCTCACTTGTAAGAAAGTCGCATCAAATTCCATTATATTGACAACGATGCGTGAATAAAACAAACAGACATGATAAGGTAAAAATGTCAAAATAGGGGTACAGCAGTCAACACCGTGTCACAATCTTAATCACAACAAAAACAAACAAATATTTAACAAAGAAGCACAAAAAAGCATATATCACATTTAACAACCTCTTTCATTGCTTACTTATTTTAACCAACACTTTCAACTTCAGCCTCAAAGAATTAATTAATTTCATTATTTTAATAAATTATGATTTTTTTAAAATGAATATAATATCAAAAGTAATGCTAAAAGTGATTAATTATTATAGATAAGTGTATAAATTGGCCTAATAGATTAAGCCAAGCCAAGAAACTTTGAACTCTGATTAGCTTTCAACACTATTAACTTGTGCTCAGTGTCTTAACTGAACACCAAACAAGTAAGCATTATTATAAATAGCCAGATATTTCCTGAGATGTTCATTTTGTGCCTTTGCCTTACAAGAACGGCCAGACACTCCGTTCGAATACTATTAGTTAAACATGTCAGGGTTAGGTGAATCGTTATGACAGCAAGCAATGAGTCATGCTCACCTTCACTTTTGACTGGAGATATCTTTACCATTGTACACTTACTTGAACATCAAACTGCCAAATGGGACCTCTCAGCAAGGAATGGAGATTACAAGCTAGTAATAAGATGGAAAAAGTCAGGACAACACTCAGTGTATCTGGCGAAATGCACAGTGCATAGTTTGCAGACTGAATACAGTGAAAAAGGTGACATTCACCAACTTATTCGAAGAGCTGCAGTTCTGCCACTTTTACCACCCAATACAGTTGAAGATGTTTGGTTTAACGCACTGGAGGACATCAATGATGCAGATACTAACACACTAACCCTTAACTTTACAGACTATGTAACCAGCTACTGGGTAGAAAACAACCAAAGCCTATGGAACCACTACGCAACAGATGGTCATAGAACAACAAATCATTTAGAATGTTGGCATAGTAAACTAAAGAAGTTAGTAAAGGCACCTCACCCAAACATCTTCAGCATGATCAAGTTCTGTAGAAAAGAAGGAGCCTTCCATGCTCTCATACTTATCCAATACAGAGCCAGCGGGAAACGTACTCCAAGAAAGAGAAAATACAGGGAAATAGATGACAGACTGCAAACACTGAAAACAAGGTTACAGAATAATGAGTTTACGCCAGTCGAGTATGGAGATGCTGCTTCTCATCTCCTGCACATTGATTAAGACTTTGTATTCTCTTGTATGTTCAATTAAGTGCAATGTATTACTGTGTGAGTGCTATGTTTAATGTCAATTTAGTGTACTTTTCGGTGCTTTGTTTAGTGTAACTCAAAATTTAGTGCTTTGATTCAAAGAAGTAAAATATAACATATTTCTATTTCTATTATGCCTATAAATTCATATTGTGCTTTTGAATATTATTTACACAAAATGTGCTATGCAATTATTAAATGCAATATTGTAATATAAACTATTCTTTTTCTTTATTTTCCACAATAATACCTGGATTTACCTTGATTCATTAGTTTAGTGTTGTTACAACATAATCCTACATAATCCCATTGTTTACATAAAAATTCTGGGAACTCCTACATAAAATTTTACTATTTTACATATAACATTCAAAATGTAGGAATAGCCAGAATGAACCGTTAAACTTTAGCTTTAAACAGTTTATGTACAATATGTATCTCATATACTTTAAGCAATAAAGCCACTATAATTGTTGTATGGAAGATTGCAAGGTGTACATGTCCGACTGACAGGTT